GAATCGCAAACGTATTGTTAACAAACGTGGACTACGATGCGAATCATACGTGTATGAAAATTCATTTTCGCCATAACGCATTTCTGTAAATCGTATTAAGGTTTGCAGGACCTAAAAAATGCCAAGATCTGAAAATTGTAAGATCTGAAAATCGCAAGATCTAGAAATCGTGGAAACAGATCGCGTATTTCGTTACCGCAATTACTGAAATATCATCGAATTTCACGGAATAATAACAGCGAACGTGTGAATGAATTCCGTCGAAAATCATAATCGCGAGTCTAATTCGCCGCGACAAATCGAGGTGTTAATTACGTGCTGGATCAAGGCGAACGATTGGTCGAGCATCGAATCGCGCGCGAATTTTCGTGTCTCGGAACACGTGCTTAATAAACCGCGTCCGGCGGACACCAATCCGACGAGCGTACTATCATTCGAAGCCGCAGGACAATGTATTGATTTCCTTCGTGAACTGGACACTGGCTATTATCGATCCGTTAAAAAGTTCAGGGCTGTCTCCTGTGTTACATGTCCTTTAGAAATACGACTTTTGAGTCACCGGCTCGTCGCGTTGTTTCAACAGAGACGGCCGACAATTTTTAGCGGAAAAGCGAAAATATGTAGAGTTTCTCGAAACCGCTCGCCCGGAGCTCATTTGTTCGTGTAGAACCGCAACGTTTTTGGAAACAGATAACGTTTAATTATTTCGGTTTAATTGTCGCATTGCATGTCCCGCGATACGGAAACGGTCAGCCTGCTGCTCCGTTGGAACCGAAGGGTTCGAACCGGCGAAGAACGTTTCGTTGTTCCGTTATTATTTATTCGTTTTATCGAGCCGATTCGAGCCGAGCTTTTAACGACCAGAGAATTTTCATGAGAGATATATCGATCACGGTTAAATTGGAGAACGCGCGGCGGGAAGAACGACGACGGTCGGTGGCTGGTGAGTCTTTGCACGCGATCGTTTTGATCGTTAACAAACAAAAGAGCGAACAAGAAAAAGAGAGGAAAAGAGATAGAGACAGAGACACACTGGACGGTGCGTGGACCGTGTATCACTTTTCTTTTTTCTTTCTTAGGCATTGTGAGAATCTTAGGTACTAACGTTGTTGTTAGGTAATTCGTGTGCCGTGTGCCGTGTGCCGAGAAGTATCTTTTCTATTCGTGGAGTTACCTACATACACGTTTGTCGTTGGTTTGCTGTTGTTTTGCCGACACGTTCAGAATTTCTTTTTCTTGGATTTGTTGCGCATTTTTTTGTCACGCCTTAGTGATACCACACCATTTTCATACTGCGTTGCTTTCCCTCCACTTTCCCCTGGAACCTCTCCCCACGACACGTTCTTGCTCTCACACGAACACAAACCCACGCGTATACACGTATTATACACACACACGGACACGCTTCGTTCACACAGAAACATTTGTTTTCACGGTAATACAACCGTGAGCAGTAACACCGTGTCATTTTGTATGCAGCAGGAGAATTACACAGCGTCATCTCTCCCACACTCGTCGACTCCGTTATCCGATTTATGACGTGTACCGACTCGACTTTTTTTTTATCGGGGAAACATTCATAGGCGATTATTGATGCTTCCGTGCCACAATTATGCAATCTAACGGACCTTCGATTTTTATTATCCCGTGGTCGCGAGGGCTTATCTTGCGCGCATCGTGTGCGTCATCGACTTAGATCAATTTCGATTGTATCCTGGTATAGAGCGTCATCAAGATCATTCTGTAATTTTTTCTCAAAAGATTGTTTTACCATTATTCAATTGTTTACTTGGAGCTGTACTTTCTTGAACAAAAGCAGCTCTTTTTTTTAATATAAATGTATCACGATAAGCGCTCTCTTTTTCTTTTATATAAAAACATAAAGTTGCACCGACATCTAAGTAATTGACAACATGTTGTTTTTTTATGAATATCAGTTAAAGCGAATAGCAGAGGTCTTCGTTTTTTAAAATGAAATTGAACAGGCTCTCAACATTCTATGATTATTTAAAACAGTGCCGATACTTTGCAATTCGAGCTTCAATGTTTAATAAATAATTAGGAAGAAGAGGTTTACTAAGATCTTTGTTAATACTTTCTCGAAACCATAGGATAATGAAATGTTAAAACATTCAGTCGTATAAGAAAATAAGGTTCCAGGTAGAGCGTGCACAAGTCTTTTTTTTATTTAATTCATTATTTTTAGAACTTGAAAGAAAAAATAATGTAAACGTTCCTCACAATTGATTTTTAAAAACCACGATTAAGTTACATCGATCTTAAAAAATAGTACGACAGAAGCATCATTAATTGGTCGAATCAGTTTCGTTCATAAAAATTCTATTCGCCCAACTTTCGTGAAATTCGCGATCGCATCGGTGAACAGATTGCAAATTGAATTGATTAGTAGAGCATTCCAGAAGTTTTGCTAAATTGCCTAATTGCGGGTCTAATTGTACCGTTACTGCTCGCGTTTGATTGGCCCGCGTGAACGTGACACCGATGCATTATCAAAAGCTCTATCGGAGTACGCGTCGAAAGACAGCGCGGTAATTCAGTGACATACATATATTTTCGCGGAGAATCACGAGACTTTCTGTCATTGATTTTCCCGTGATGCCAGCCGATGATAATGATCGTTTGTTTTGCCGTGTTTCCGACAGTTTTCTGGCACGATCGCGGGATCGTGTGCGGACACGATCCTCGCGTACATTTATGCATAATGTCAAGTTCGAATATGTGTATACCGCATTCGTAATAATCGGCGGCGATTGTTATATCCGTTTCAAGATTTGACCGCGAGTTCTCGATATCGGTATCGACTGAATTAGGAAACGAACGCGACACGCGGTGGCATTTGCGTTTCAAATTCTTGACACACAGAGCATCACTTCCGTGAAACGTTTCATATACATGTTCATATATCCATAAATTACTCTACAATTCCTTTCCTTTTCATCCGTCTCTTTAGTCATTTTTTTTTTAACTGTACAAGGCGAAATGTACGGTTGGAGCAGTTGGCGTTCGTTGAGTTTCATTGATTGGATGATTGACAGTCATGGGAATTCATGAATCGCGGACTGCTCCAAGAAGAGCAAGTACGATTACGTAATAATCTTGGTGGACTGAATCGGAAAAAACGATCGTCGAGATCGGAAATGTTCAAAATTCAATTAAAAAGAAATTGTATAACAAGATGTTGGTGTTATTGGTTATATTTTTTATCATCTATGGTGCGTAATATTTTTGTTAGAAATCAGTATCTGAACTTGATTTACAGAAATTATTTGGTCGGTTAAGTTTAAATTAGTTACTCGATTTATGCTGAAATAGTATGTTCTTATTCACTTGATTTTTATAAAGTATATTTTATCATTTTATGTAGCTTCAATTTTGTTTCATTTGTAGTATCAATTTCAAGTAGTTAGTTTACTAAATTTTCATTCATGTAATTATAAACATACATGGGAATTTGGAATTTAATTTCACGTAACTTTACTCTTGTTTCATTAATAGTATTAATTTTAAGAAGTTGGGTTATAGCCATTTTTTAAATAACGAAGAATTTTATTAATATATTCTACAGTACATTTTACAATACATTTTACGATACATTTTACAGTACATTTTACAATACATTGAACAAACACCAAATAAATGAATAATATTCTAACTGAATGGAACACCAATGGTTTTTTCAATGGTTTTTTTCCATTTTCATGAAAATTTCTTATCATCCGTTACGAGTATGGAAATTATTGTTTACAAAGAAGATAAGATTGAAGCGAACGAAAAAAACAAGTCTAGTTAACCAAAAGAAAAGGTAAACCGTTGGAATTGCAAATGTTAATTATCCTTTTACAGTGTCAAAACATTGAAAACGTTTAACATTCCTGTATAATTCCACGCAATCATTATCTCTCGCTACTGTTTTCAAAATTGATGTCCAAAACATGGTTTCTACTTCAACAGAGACATTTAGAATCATTCTTTTGTACTTCAATCAATGCCACCGGTTACTATACGATATAGCCCCTAGTTTTCCAAAAAAATTTTACATCGTAATAGCTGTCCCACCCCACTAAAATACACTTTAAATTAAATGCCGTTGGGTCAGCGATGAGATTCAGCCGGTTTGCACCGGTTCGCGCGAACTGGTTCCCAAAATTGTTCGAGTTCGTCGAACCGGTAGCGAATGACACCCAACATTTTCCTACTTATCTTTCACAATATGAGTTTAATCAGAACTCGCGATGAATTCATTTCTCTTATCATTTTTATCGCGTATGCAAAGTACATAAATAAAAGATTGGTAATATTAATTTACAATCGACATAATTCATTAAATTAATTTATTAGCTTTGAACTTTCGATAATCCCTTATCTTTAATAATTGTCATAATACAAAACAGTTCGAAAATACGCTTTCAATAATTTCAAAAGAAATCATAAAATTACGTCACTGAAGCTGATTTTCTAGTCAATTAACGAGATGATCGTTGCTGTAATAAATCATTTGTGCTCGAGTGGTGACCTTGAGACACCACCAAAAATCGTTACATCACGTTCTGAGATCATTTCTACTTGTTATCAAACTTGTTTATATTTATAATATCGTTAATGATAGTAAAAGTTTGGCCCCTCCATTATCGATGCGCAATTAAATATTGATTTCGATTTCTATTATTTACCACTGTTACGCCAGTAATAAAGCAATAAACACTAGCGGCTTGCGAGACAACGGGCGTAACAGTTAAGGGTTGAAACGGCTTCGAACGCAAGGGGTGAAATTTCCGCGAGAGTGCGAGCAGATAGTAAACAAGGCAAACCAATGGCATCACCGTTCCGTTAGCCTCTGGTAGATTGAATAGTCGAGCACGTAGGCGACCAGTCCACCACGATTAGAGCCGACGAGAATTCTCTGCATTAGATGTCTGAGTGCCGCCACGATCCGCCCGGGTCCGTTTGATCCGTTTAACCGTCGACCGTTCTCGTTTCAGGGTGCCACCAGGTTACGTGTACCAGTCGCCCTACCTGGCGGCTGCGGCGCCAGGTGGTTTGGTACCGCTTCCGACGACACAGTTGACCCACGCCGCGGCGATGGCGGCGGCGTCCCAGTTCTACGAGTACCAGAACGTCGCGGCCGCGGCCGCCACATATCCGGGGACGTCGTACAATTTCGCCGAGGCGTACCCCTATACCAGCGCAGCCGCGGCCGGTATGTGTTTGAAAACTGTCCAGAGCAAGGACAGCAACGGGCTGATACACCACCATCAGCAGCACACCTGCAGCAGCCACACGGTGCTGGCGCAGCAACGATTGGAGAAAGCTCTCCTGCCGCCCTTTCTGCCGTCATTGCTACGTAGCAACGGTAGAAAACTATTCGAGAACAGATCGCACCGAGTGAGAGAAGCACGCGTGGGCGGGAGAGAATGCGAGAGAGAGGAGAGAGAGAGAGAGCGAGAGAGAGAGAGAGAGAGAAACGGACGAACGATATAATTTTATCTCGGAGAATTCATTTTCCTGGTTGAAGTAGAGTAAAAAAGCTCCGCGACGGTGTCAAGCTCGAAGATTCCCGCTGAAAAGTCGCGTTCCTTTCTCTTTAGAATGTTCCGCGGTTTCTATTTGATTTCACCTCCCCTTCTTTCTTCTTTTTTTTTTTATTTCTTTCATTCGATCTCGTTGTTGCTATTATTTTGCTCGATCGCCAAGCATGGTGGCTCCAACTCGTCTCGGATATACACGGACACACGTGCACAGTAAAGTCTGATACTTTCATTGGAGATGATTAGCGAAAGCGATGCATGCGAAAGCTACAGCATTGTTATTTCTTTGTGCGTTGCAAGGTAGATCTAGACACCATTAACATCGTTTACGAATTGCTGCACGCGTCGATCTCACGGTTTTTTCTTTTTGGGCAGTCACGCGTCTAGTAAATTCTCCCTAATTGACGCTCCGATTGCACGCGAAAAGGGACAATTTTGGAAGAGGAGATGCGATTATTCGAGCCTCGCGGCTTGTTTTTATAGTTACCGATTGCCAACAGTTATAAAAGGGCCGCAATGCTCGAATAATAGTCGTAACTTCTCTTCCCAAATTGTGCAATTTAGTGGACAATCTGAGCGTCAATTAGAGAGAATTTACTGTATAGTAATGTCTCCCTAATTGACGTCCAGATTGACCAGAAAAATGGACAATATGGGAAGAAGAGATCAAAAATGGCCCAAAAACCCCCAAAATCGACCGATTATTCGAGCCTTGCGTTTATTTTTATAGTTATAAATTGTCCACAATCATAAAAACGAGCCGCTGGGCTCGAATAATCGTATCTCCTCTTCCCAAATTATCCAATTTAGTGGACAATCTGAGCATCAGTAGGAGAGACATTACTGTACAGTAATGTTTCTTTAATTGACGTTCAGATTGTCCACATAAATGAACAGTTTTAGAAGAGGAGATATGATTGTTCGAGCTTTGTGGCTCGTTTTTTTACGGTTATCGATTGTCAACAGTTATAAAAGCGAGTTGCAAGACTCGAATAATCGTATCTCCTCTTCCCAAATTGTCCATTTTTGCGCACAATCTGAGCGTCAATTAGGGAGAATTTACTGCACTTCGATTCACAAAGTGCTCGAGAATGTACATACTAATCCGGCTCGCGGTGCCTGATAGGCAACAGGCGACGACGATCATGATCGTCGCGTCCGATCCCTCGTGATATCTTGTATGCAATTGTATGATAGTTTTGTTTGCTTTTTTTCTTGGTAGCTAGTTTCGATCTTACGCGTAATATCGGTTTCTAATGGCAATTTCTTTAGTTACTCATCGGCCCATGTATATACTAATTCCAATCGTTTTGGGACTTGTTCAAGTGACCGGATTTCTTGCTTCGATGCGAGAGATTTTCATTTATATTAATGCTTATTACGTCGTGAGTTTTGTTCACTGCTTCGAAGAAGTATTATTGTTTAAACGGATCGCGATCGCGGGAACAGTTCGAGACTACTTAAGGGGCTTGAGTTTTACCTGTTCGATCTTTTCTAGCGGGAATCTTGCTGTACGAATCCTTTCTGCTCGTTTCACCTGTCGCTTCTTCGAATTGAGTTCTTGAATGTTCTGTAATGTTGATGTGTTTACATTGGATTGTGCTGTTTGTCGCGGAAGTTTTCTCGAATTTCGAACCACGCATTTATGCAGTTAGCAGGAGAACTTTCTGTAATCTGTTTCTCGCGGAACTAGGGTAATTGATCCGGTTACCGTGGGGTGACCAAATGCTGTGCCTTTGGTTTGTTTTTGGGCATAATTAACTTTATATTTATCGAACGAGACATGCTAAATTTTTTTATTCAAAATTAGACAAAATAAAAGAATAAACAAATTTAATATGTTCTGTTCGATAAATATAAAATAATAATTATGATAATGTAATAATAATAATAATAATATGCATGAATAAAGTTAATTGTGCCCGAAAATAAACCAAAGGCACAGCAATTGGTCACTCCACAGAAATCGGATCCGCTACCTTATAACGAAGCAATTCTCTATACGGTCGCGTTTTTCGTACGGTCGAAACGAATGTATTCGATCGAGCGAGATCGTGATCCGCGCAGACGTTGTTCTCGTTTACATTGGAATGATTTGCTGTCTGTAAAACACAGGTACAAGATCAACGAAATGGAAACGCATCATTGCATGGTTTACGCTGGCTTCGCACTCAACACGATGAATATGCAATTTTGTTAATGCTCCGATGTGCTGTCTACGGTGGTGGTGGAACAATTGTCACGATAGATGACAGTAGTCTATAAGCTTTCATTTTGCAATACTAGTGTCTTGCCAAACGTTCGAAATTGAATTGCGAAAGCATTCAGGCATAGCCATGGAACAGTTACGAACCTCTTTTGCAGCACTTGTTCGGAATGAAACAGTGCAGTTAACCGTGTACAAATGAAATATAGACGCAAGATTATAAAGTGCATCTTTAGTAGGCTTTCCATAGAGTCCTTGAACTTTTTAAGTTTTTAATTTTTATCTTGTGTTTTAGATTTGACCAATCGTCATTACTATATATGCTGTTAGTAAATAGTATAATAGTATAAGGTATTGGTAGAATTTGTTTGCATATCTTTTATTAAAGATTATAAATTTGGAAATTCTTGTCACGTACACAAGATATATATTTTTAACAGTAGATGTATTTTTTGCAATTGATACAACAGAGATTTTGATAAAAATTTAGTACAGCAATAAATTGCACAAACAAGGTTAAAGGATGGTGCAAATACAAGACGAAAATATTTGCACAGATCTAAATGAATTCGTCGGTAATTAAAGATTCGACAATTTTTCATCGCAATTCGATGATCTTTTGATTTTGTGAAACGGTGTATTTGAAAAATCGATTCACATTTATCAACCGAGACGTACGTAGCCCTTCAGAATAAAGTTGCACTGTATCTTCTTGTCAAGCAGGAAACCTGAAAAGGTATTCCGTATCAGAGGGTTACCTGCACAAAAGCAACCACTTCGCGGGACAAACAGAATCTCAGAATGCCGTTTGTTTTTTTCTTTCCAGCAAACGCAGCGGCAGCCAGTTACGTGACACCATACGCGTACACGACGCTACCAGGTGCAGCAGGGTTGCCAGCAGCAGCAGCTGCAGCTGCAACAGCGGCGGGTGCTGCGTTCCCAGGTCTCCCATACCAAACAACACCTCAAGAGGCGAGATTGCAGTAGGAGCCGGACGAATCGCCGCGAACACGGTCGCGACCGAATTCCGACTTAAAATTGCGATCAAAAGAACTCGATCCTCGCCGCATTAAACTTCGCTCTTCGCCTGTACTCCGCGTGCGTCCGCCATTTTGGATCCGGTCCACCGGAAAGCCGGAGGAACAGACACCGAAGAGGACGCCTGAACGAAGCGTTCAGCAACGGCGACTCGAACGGCACACACAGTTTCTTACTAATTTAATCTTCAATCTTCCCCACTTTAATCTTCCTTCCTACGTTTCTCCTTGTTAGGGCCTGTTCAGTGGACCTTCGGACCGTACTCTAACTGTTAACACGAGGAAACCGGGACAGGAATCTGCGATACGTTAGCTAGCGTTTAGAACACGTCCGACCTAAGGTACTTCGTGCCGTAGCGAACGATGTTGCGTATTAGGCTAAGCGAACTAAGTCGAGGAACATTCGCGGTAGGATTCGTTCGAGATCGCGTTTCTTCGCATCGGGGATCGCCACCGTGAAACATCCTCCAGCTTGCAACTGTCTGTACGCATCGTCGCCGCTATCCAAGATTTGTTGTAAGCTTCCCGAGGAGGAAGTTTTTTTTTTTAAAAAAATGTCGTTTTTACGCTTTTACAGATATCTGTTCTGAACTTCAGAACTTTTAGTCTCACGAGGTCGCCGAGGCCATCATTTTCTATTTTATGCGTAGAACAGACGGTCAGCCGCATAATTTATAACGACACTGCGGAGGGACTTTTAATTCACGAAAAATTGGTTCATGATTTGAAATCATTTCTACTGGAAGTTGCGAAATTCGGACACGGGGAATCAGCGGTATTGATAGAATTTTATTTCGACTGGGCATTGTAGTTTCGCGAATGTTTCACGTACTTGTCGTTCAGGGGGTGTAACCGTACACGAGCGACAGGGGGAGGACGTTCTAAGTGATTCATTAGGATGAATTTTGTAGACGCTTTTAGGAACGACGGTCACGTCGCGATTAAATCGAAGTGTCGATGTTGCCTTATACAATCGCTTAGAGGCGAGTTTACTAAGTGTCTTGATAGACGATGCCTTTTTCGCGTGGCTCGCGGAAGCCACCGAAACGGACTGATCAACGATTTGCGCTACGAATCCAACGAGGACCAAATGGACGAACAGCGGAGTCGATCTCGCGAGAAATCACAGAAATCGCGAAACACTCTGTCGCGCGGCTCTGTCGTTCTTGCGAAAACAAAGAACCGTTGCTTCATTTCTCCCGCGCAAAGGTCGCTGAACATCGATTTTTATCTAGTTTCGACTCTCACTTATCGTAACAAATTCTCTTCGAATACTCTTGTTTTATCATCGGATTAGCTGGAGACACTTTTGTCCTATAAATTCATTCCGTTATTTCCGGTTTACGCTTGGCACGGGGGAACTCGTTCTATTCCCGTTCGCGAGTTCGTAAATCGGTACCACAATATTGGCATATATTTTTGCGTACGTTCTAAATGCAACGCGATTTTTCTATTATTAACTTTTCCGGGAGGATGTGTCGGGAAGAGTGTCGCTAAATTTACCCGCGTTATTTCGCAGTTCGAAACCGAAAAATAATTTTAAAGGACTCGGGAGCTTCCGAGAGTTTTCTCATGCATGTTTCTAAATTGCAAACATCGATATTTAAACCAATTGACAATTGCCAGCGTAACATAAGATGGCCGTATAACAGTATGACCGTATTAGTTGACCTGTTTTTTTTTTGTTAGGGTGCATTAGTAAATTAGCGACACTGTCCCAGCACTTTTGTCACTCTACGAGAAACGATCGACCGTTCGGATCATTGATCGACGACAAACCGAACGTGAGAATTTCACTCGTCCAATTCTTGCAAAGTAATCTGGTGCCTTAATTAGCACGGTCGAATAGTCTTAATGGTTAGAAACTAGTCAGTGATTCGTTCGCGCGAAGCTATTCGTTAATACGTGCGTATCGGGGGGCAAAGGTAATAATAATAATGGAACGGGGGACGACAAGATGATGTGGAAAACGAAGATGGAGGGATAACTAGCTAGCGAGGAGGGTGACGGAGGATCGGGGCTATGAAGAATGAGACTGTCTAGTCCTAAACCCGTCGAGACCTTAGACGAGGTACACTCGATTCGTTAGAATATTAAGTAGACGTTAATACGCATGAAGCAACGGAGGACGAAACCAAAAGTCTTGTAAAAAGTTAGCGAAACAGGCGCTGTTAGAAAGGTTTAATCTTAAGTATTAATTATTACGTAACCGATCGATTAAGATAATAGGAAAATAAATGAATACCATTGATATTATATTCTTATTACTATTATTATTATTATTATTATTATTATTATAATTATTATTATTATTACTACTACTACTACTATTACGTATTAATAATTATTATTGCTATTATTATTATTGATAATATTATGATTATTATTGCTATTATTATTGATAATATTATTAATTATTATTATTATTATTATTATTATTATTATTATTGTCATTGATTATTCATTATTGTTCATGTACTTAACGACGAAGCGGAGAAAATATGTGATCGGGCGAATATATTATTTGGAAGTGACATATCTTCCGTCGCGATTAATGGGAAAACGAAAACCGCGATGAACATTTTGTTTCGATTACACTATAATCGTTTCAAATATCCTATATTCGTAGGATTAATATTTGTAATATATCATCTGTTATCTCCAGTAATAATTATAATGTACACACTATCGAGAACGTGTTAAAAAAGAAATGGAACGAAATGGACGAATTCTATCATATCGTAAAGGGACGGAGAAGAGAAACGGACGCGTCCTGGTCATAAAATGAATCGCGACTCTTGTTGTCTGTTGCTTTTGCACGTCACCTGAATTCTTCGCTGGAAGACAAAACACGAACTTTGATTACCGAAAAACGAAAAAAAAAGGAAATAAACTCTCAATTTTCACAAAAGTCCCTCGTTTGATTCTTAACTTTTCTTCCATCTCGTGTACTGTAAGCAGAGGAAAAACTTACGTGGAAGTATTGTTTTTATTCAATCAAGATATATAGATTTTCTTTTTGTCTTTTCAGTACTTAAAAATTTGTAATTTTAATTCTACATTTTTATCGTTACATTAAAACGTTATTATAATTTAATACAGATTTTCTGAGCCGAAGTAAATGACTTGAATTTTTTTGTTTCGTTGTGATTATATAAAGGAATCATGTCATCTGCAACTTTCATGATATCAAAGAAAATTATAACTATTTATGTTCAAACCTCACTTATTGTTAATCCCATATGTATAAAAAAATGTACACTCTTATGAAAGAGATTTACTCGTTATTGGAAATTTTAGAGATACCGTATGAACTTCCATTTTCCTGGTGCAGTAAGCAGTAGGAGCTCTGTCGCAGCGATGGAACTCCATTTTGTCGTTTTTCATGGCTAAAGATAATCCTAATGGCTCTGTGGAATGGGACGATGGGCGCTGTGGCGAATTACAAAATCAGCGAAGAAGAAGCCGTTCTGGACATCTAAGTTAGCGATAGAGCAAAAATAACCAGTCACGCCTTCCAGTGAAATAACTCAGCGATTTGACTCCCTTTTGAAAACCTCCATAGATTTATCACTCTTTGAAACCGTGTCATTTCCACCAATTTAGCTATGGCCACAATATTACTGAAAGTTGTCAAAACTAGTTGAAATTTGAGCTCACTGAATTTTTACAAAGCATTACTTAAATGTGGATATTTTAGTAAATTCTGATCACAAAATCTTACATTTTTAATTCATAAAAGAAAAAAGCAATTATGTTTTGGATTAATTATTTATGCAATATACAGGGTGTTCCACAATTATTTTAACAGCCGAAAATGAGAGGTAGCTGAGGTCATTTGAAGTAACTGTTTCCTTTGCGAAAATGCAATGTGCGGCTTTGTTTACGAGTTATTAACGGAAAACACTGACCAATGAGAGGTGACGGCGCGAAGTTCGAGAGCCCGCAGCACGAGGCTTTGACCGATAGTCGGGACGGACTCGAGCCGCGTTCGAAGTATTGAACAAATCACGAAGCGAGTACTTTCGGGATTTTTTTTTTACTACGTAACAGTGATGTTTTTAAGAAAAACCTTTACTTTAGAACGTCTGAAGAATATTTACTAATTTTTCGGAACCGAAATAGTAAGTAATTTAACCGTGACGGCCGTTTTAATTTTCTAGTGTGCATGACACCTTGTGTGTAACATATGAAATTTTTAAGCAAGGTGTACAGTGAAGATGCACAGTGACCTTAACGTAACCTTGACAAAATCTTGATATGTCAAGGTTATGACAAGGTTATTGATAATATTCTTCATATTTCTCTAACAAACATATACCTTACGTCCTTTAACACGCTTATTATTTATTAAATTAGCTATGCGAATCATTTCATATGTTGACTTTGACATAACCTTGACGTAACCTTGACATAATCTTGATATAACCTTGACAAAACCTTGATATGTCAAGGTTATTGATAATATTCTTCATATTTCTCTAACAAACATATCCCTTACGTCCTTTAACACGATTATTATTTTATTAAATTAGCTTTGCGAATCATTTCATATGTTGACCTTGACATAACCTTGATATAACCTTGACATATCAAGGTTTTGTCAAGGTTATATCAAGATTATGTCAAGGTTATGTCAAGGTCATTGATAATATTCTTCATATTTCTCTAACAAACATATCCCTTACGTCCATTAACACCATTATTTTTTTATTGAGAACAAAAATAATGGATTTCTTTTCAGCCCCTTCTTATAATACATATATATCGGCTTTGATAATTGTTCTTATATATGAATGGAAATAATGAAAAACGATTTTATATTGAAAGATTTGTATAGTGCGCAATTCGTTTCTGTCATAAATGAATACGTGAAACACAAAACTGTGAAAACATTAGAAATATTTACTTGTTACGCTATTTACATATTATTAAACTCATATATGAAACAAATGTTATCGTTCTTATTTCATTTCGGTATCTTGAATTAATCAATTTGTATGCAAAATGAAACATTCATTTATTTTCTTAATAATTTTAATGAGTTGCACATTACACAATAATGGTTTTAAATTCTGCTCTAACTATTATGAAATCGATCTACTCATTTTTGGCATAGATGGGTAAAATTCGCGGTCTTCGCAAACGTAATTCATCCTATTATCAATCGGAAATGTTTAATGGAGGGGGCTAAAAATGCCAATAAGAAAAAAGGATTTACGCGCCAGATTTTGTAAAACGAACTTTTTGCAAAGTTTGTTTGCTACGTACAAACGAATGTATCGCTTGTAAACTTAGCACGGATCGCAACCAATCGCGATACCTTCGGATCACGGTTCGTCGGTTACTGTGCGCAGAAATGATAAGATGTCAGCACCGGTGCTTCATTGATAATACGTCCTTAGAATGATGCCCCCGCTTATCATTCGTTTTGATGGAGAAATAGTAGGGGAGCATTGCCATTGACACAAGAGCGAGGCTCAGTTATCTCGCGTTTATTCACGTAAACTGGAGCGCTCATAGCGCTTAGTGATTTTTGACTTTCTGCTTCGGCGATCGAGGGAGGTCACGTCCAGGGAGAGACTCGAGGATCGCGATCCAGACAGGACTCGCGACCTGGAAGTCCTTCCTAAGTCCATGCGGAAGCACGTGGCCTAACGTCAAGGTAAGACCAATGGAATTCTCGCGTGTTTTAGCTTCCACCTACGACACAGTCTCTCCCGCTTTTTCCTAAGCATCGTCTTCTCTTTAAATTGTTTATTTCTACCAACAGATCCTTCCAGAAGCTCGTACATCCTAGAAATCATATTACAATCGCGTACGATCGTCCCAGCATATAGATCAACTAAATTACTAACATTTCACGTGACATCAGCAGAATCTGCGTTAAATACAACGTTCATAAATAAAACATAAAATTCTAATGACGTTGCCTCTGGCATTAACAGTTTATTTAGTTCGGTTACGATAGAATGTTAATAATTTCATCTCGAAATAACTGACGTTAACACGCGTAAACCGTGGTTTTGCTATGAAATGCTACACGAATTGTTGTAGCAAGTTCTTAATTAAAAGTCAGAATTCGCTTTTGTGCCGCGAATTTAACGCGTCTAGTGGAAATTGATTGCCGCGTTCGCTTGCTTTGGAAATTTGTTTGACTTACGTCAAACAACGGCGCCGTAAAAAAAGAAAAAACGGTAATACAGTGGTTACAACCGTCGACTTTCGATGCGAAAGATGCGGTTTTTGGCGACAATTATTTGCAATGTTTTACGATCTTTTGAGACCCCTCTCGTAACATTTCTCATCTGGTTCGATATTGAAAATTGAGCATTCTAATTCTTCAGCAGCCATCTTAGCGCGGTGCAAAATTTCCCGTTCGATTATTCCGGTTTAATCGGCAAGTTGGTCGCCTCGAAGAGACGAATTTGGGGAAAAGTTGCGCGAAAGAGACCGACTTGCTGGTCAGTTCGGAGCTAAAAGTTAACTTTCACAGTTGAGAAAGCTTATCGCGAAGTTAGGTCCAGGATTCTTAGAGTGCTTCTTGTAACACGCCGTGGCGGAAGTAACAATCGACTGGAACTCCGTATTAATGCAGTCTCCGAACGTCACAACGAAATCTATACCCCTTTAAATTGCAATTGCGTAATCATCTCAGGTGCCCGTGGTGCACACGACAATTACGTTCGTAACCATTCGTAAATAAATCCATTACACTGGCTGTTCGACTGCTTGTTCACGCGAATTACGCGAAACGAAACCGTTTCTTTCGAACCGGATTTTTTAACCGACGAATTCCAAAGTATCGCGAACGTTCCGCAAACTCGTCGGATCAAATCTTAAAAATTCAGCGAGGACGACGAATCTCCGAGATCGTTCGCTGCCGTCTTTTTGACCCAATGACCTGAATTATTTGGAAATTCTATTACGAACGCTAATTCCTAACGATCGAAGTTCGACGCTGCTGATTCCGTTTGGCGGGCTCGCTCTGTTTGTAACACAATAATCCATGCATCGGTGGTATCTGAATTAAACAGATAAACTATTGATGATTGGATAGGTCTTGTGAGCCCCTTGTCTAACCCGTTCTCAGTCCACAAATTTTACCGGAATCGATGGACGTGCTCGAACACGGTTTTCTGCTGCAGAAATTGTTGCTTGGAATTCGTTTCAGTGAATCGTTACCTCGAACGCAATATTGTTAACGACAATGTAAGCCGAGAAAAAAGATAGACACGTTTTCGAATTTCTAATTTCGTGTCTATAATTATTTGGCAATTTTTCAGCGGATGCGTTGACCGATATTTCTCGTCATTATCGTTTCTCGAATTCGTGACGCTTAAAAGATATACTGTCGCGATGTAATGCGAGCAAAATAATTGTAACACTTACAATATATGATGTACAATTGAACGCAAGAAACCTTATTGTAGGGTTATCAGCAGACATTGCTATTCGCTTTATTATCTCCTGCTGCCAATATAGAATTAGATAATTCAATCTCTAATCGGTTACTGTACTAAATCACTGCAAAGTGGAAATTGCGAGACATTTATAACAGCGATTTCGACGTCACGTGCCGAAGAATCAATGTTTTTAAAACTTTATTGATAATATTGATACCATGTTAAACGAATCGATAGGTGTTACACTCTTGAGAAAATAATGAAATTGATGGCAGATAATGAGATCGTTGTCGCTGGCTAAATTCAATGACATTCCGCAAAGAAATGTCGCAGAAAGAAGTTAATCCAATTGTCATAATCGTCGGCTCTTTAGCTTTTTATTTATTCGAGCTAGACCGACTTCTGCGTGCGACATGGCAGTTGAACTTGCAAGTTGTACAAGATAGTACTCGACGATGATAACGCTTTCTTTGTTTCGCTGGCCAGACAAAACAAAAAGGTATATTTTATCATCTACTTAATCCTTATCTAATTCTTATTCTCAGCACATACCCATCCATTTTCATTTTACGCGTTTATTCGAGCAATTGTGCCTTATCCGCGATCTCACGATCTAAACAAATCTGTCGATCTCTCAAAAGTAAATATCTTGTAAAAGATTTATTTATCACATGAGGGGAGTACGAGAGTAGACAGTGATTGAATTGCCGCGGTAAATATGTTTCCGGAATGTTGGAAGCGTGTTAACAATTTCATGTAATAATTGGATCGCGAATTTTTGTGCTTGCACTTTTACGCTTAACTTTATGAAAACTGAAACGAATGAAAAATGTCTTTGGTTGACTAAGAGATTTCCTACGATGAAAGTGTAACAAAAATATTAGTACTGTTCACTGATATACACGATTTCTTCTATTTTAGAAATTTACATGCCATCGATGCACAACGATCCACGGTCTACTAATTATAAACCCCTTAAAAAGACCGCATGGCTTTTGTCATCTAAAAGCATCGCTTTATTCCGCTGGCTAAATCGTTCATTTATAAATTACTTTCTCCGCAGACACCGCAAAATCTAATAGATAATGGTAAGAGACTAATAAAATATTACCTCTTAACAGATTACCCGTTCATCTTTTTTTCCAGGAAGATATTCACGAAAATCGCTGCAAACTTTCCGGAATAAATTTGTTCCCTTAAAATATAAGAAATTTCAGAGTCTCGAGAAGAATCTTCGAGCGTGTATCTAAGAGTTGTTAATATAGGGTTTCGTTTAGAAAACTGTCGAAGACTGCAACTATCGCAACTTTTTCATTCGACACGTTTTATCGGTAAAGCGAATTTTAGGTGGTAGGCGATGTGATTTTCGTGTGAAACGTAAAATAGCGAAGATCTTGAATTGCTTGAGAAATATAAGAGTAACGAGCAGTTTGTGTTGCAATTCTGTAGTACAGTTTGGAGGGATGACCAAAGATTGTGGAATTTGCGGGATTTATCCCCGATGGCTGCGAGATCGTGCCACCTCGAGAAATTTCATCGCCGTGTACGGTCTTCTCGGCACCGTGCAGGCGATGGCTTTCATTTACATCGTTGTCACCCTCACCACGCTGGAGAAAAGATTCAAGATACCTAGTCGTACAACTGGTATGTGTTATCTATAATGTACCTTGCGAAGCTCAATTAACGCCGAGCCTATCGAGCACTGTAACTGGTGCGTACAGTCTTACCGAAGCGAAGAGATCGAATTTATTTAGCTTTTGTACAGTTCTCACATTGTAATATGTCTCTTAACACTCGAACAGTAGACTATTTTAACCAAAAATGTGACCGAGCATGCGTAGGGTAATTTATAATTTTACTTGTCAATTTCTCAAAGCAAACATTTTAAGCTGTTCCTTCCAGTAACTGGTCTGTGTATTGAACAATTCAATTTATTCATTTTCCATGAAATTCCTGATGGTATCACATTGACTGTTAATTTACGTCGGGGAAAAAGAAAAATTCTTCGTTGGAAATTGTAAGCTGCAATTAGTTTTTTTCCATTGATTTCATTAAAACTGTAGATCGATGTAAGTGACGTCTTTACGGTTATGAGACAAGCTTATAAACGAACGTATAGATATCAGACCAGAATTAATAGACAGCTGGTGTTTTGCAATTATGTTCGCGCGTGCTTTTGCGAATCGATGAAAATTGAAAATAAAACTTCGGCGCAGAAAAATTCGCAACTTTCTAGTTAGAATTCGAGTAAAGGGTCAGCAAGAGATAGGTCAAAGAGAACGGAGTTGTATTGTCGCTCAATTTGAGTAGATAGTTCAGTTCATATTTGCTATGCCGGGAACATGAATGAGATTGGAACTCGTTATCTATCCGATTATATGTATATCTTTAATTTTCTTTATCTTGTATTATACAATGAGTTCGATAGAACGAGTTCTGTTAAGTCAATTACATTTCCGATACTAATATCATTTTCGTGAACGTACATTTATTTGATAATTCTTACAAACATAGAAAACGTACAAACAATTGGCAATAATTTCGAAATGAAAATTGGACGATGAAAACTTCTCCAGCCATACTTTGGTCCAGCGCACAAACTATACCTACATATTATAGTAGTTTACTCTTGAAATAGACAACACTAGTTTACTAACACATTAAAAGCAACAATTATAGGATATCAATATTGACAATCGCATTAATAATTCCAATGTTCAACCGAGTGCCGTTCTATGGTAGAGTGTACAAGCTTCCGAAGTGTTCGTATATTCCAAGCTCAAAATTCTGTTTTGCAAACGTTTAACGTCGTTGAGATCGTCGCGATCGATATCGTCGCGATCTGATCGATAAATGAGCCGTTGAAACCAGAAATAGTGTAAGTCGATGTAAGCCGAAGAAGTTAATTTGTGGCTAATGATGGATAAATGAAAGATTCTTCAGAATGCAACAACGTAGACAATTGTTACAACTCTTTTAATGCAAGCCGCTTTCGAGCTGTAACTTAAAACAGTGCAAAAAAATATTAAATTAAATATGATTTAATAATATTACATCGAGCTAGGAAAAAATTGACTTACATTATTTTTGCATCGAACAGCGAAAATCTAGCAAAGCTGCGGGTTTGCGAGGTTGTTCCTTTACTTTCGCGAAAAATGACGTCGAATCCCGGCAGTCAAACGTCGCTACACAGTGTACACGCGTTGATGCACTCGCACTTGTATTTGCAACACGCGTGCATCATGCATGGTCGGCCCCGAGCAAAGATAATCGCGTGTCGGTGTACGTTCGTCTAGTAGGTAAGTAGTGTGTCGCAATCATAGAAGTGAGAAATCTGTCGTTAGAGCAACGAGCGCTGAACACGCGTTGCGAAGACACACGGATATGCATTTATACGAGTTTATTGTTAGTCACAATATACGCCAAGGGTACGTACACGAAATTATTTTCGAGAAGTCGCGAGTATGCGTGTGCGTGCGTGTGTCTCGCGTTCGACCCCCTTGCACGACGAAACGTAAGAAGATCGATGGATTCTCGCGGTATCTCGACACGATGAGCGCATTAAATTTTTCGCAAATCTTTCTTTACGATCCTTATCGAATTTTTGCGAACGATACTGCGAAATTACCGGGCTTTCAGAGCGAGATTAGACCACGGTATCGATGGTACGCATCGATTGCTTTAAATTTGTGCCATTGGACATCTGAAATTCGGATTACAAGAATATTGGTTTCATTTCGGTCGTTGAAAGATCTGCAAATTCGAGAGCACTCAATTTTATTGTGCATTTACGTGCATCGTACGTGCGTCTAATTGAAAGTATTTTTTATTAGTCAGTTTGTAAGAAATCATGCTCTTAAGAGTGACACTGATTTAATAGAATAACATTTGCTACGGAGATCGTTTTCTAATTTTCAACAAACCAAACTTCAACTTACAGAGGCTTTGCATTGTAATTAATTTTTCTAACTTAATAAAGTACAAACTTATGAAGAAATGAACGATCGACGATCACAGGATCGTTCATTCTCTCGAATCGATTGACCGATAGGTGAAGGTAAACGAGTTCTGCGTTGCAGAGGTAAAATACGTAATTTAACTGGTAATGAATGCTTGAAGTTTTACTCGAGTTGTAGAGATTTGTATTGACCGTTCATCGTAAAAATATTAGTAACACAGTTCGATCGGGCAAATTTGATCAGGCAAAATCACAGCTGAAGATAATGTACGTCATCGCAATGCACAGTGTTGACCTTTTCGGATCGCTACGTAGACATTTTCTGCGTTATCCACAATTAAGAACGAGATTATAATCGAAAATAAGAGATGAGATTCTCTCTAATTTTCCTTGAGCTTGCAAACAAAAATGGACAATTTGGGAGAAAGCGATACGATTATTCGAGCCTTGCACCTCGTTTTCATAATTGTTGACAATCGGCAACTATAAAAATGAGCCGCGAGACTCGAATAATCGTATCTCCTCCTCCCAAATTGTCCATTTTTATGCGCAATCTGAGCGCGAATTAGGGAAAAATTACTGTATTCCTGTCGATATAATTACAGTAAATTCTTCCTAATTTTCCTTGCGAACAAAAATGGACAATTTGGGAGGAGGCGATACGATTATTCGAGCCTTGCACCTCGTTTTCATAATTGTTGACAATCGACAACTATAAAAATGCCCCGTAAAATTAATCGAATAATCGTATCTCCCCTTCCCAAATTATTCATTTTTATTTGCAAGGAAAATTAGGGAAAATTTACTGTGTGCAGTTACTTTCATGAGACGCTTAGTATCTGCGATATCAGGTAATACCATAACAACGCGGCTTAATCAAAAATAAAAATTCCTTTGTTGTCATTCCGTCTGACGCACGTTTGAAATTCTTGAAACGATACAGAGTTTCAGACGTAATCGATCGAACGCCCGATTGTTTATCGTTAACTAATATACACGGATAACGCACACGTCGATACGTTTTATATTATTTGTCTGTACACGCAATCAGATAAAATGTTAATTACGCGCGTATAACAGCCGCGTGAGAAATCGATACAACCCGTCGTTCGTGGTTTTACGTGGCCGATGTTATTGCGTTTGGTTGATCGATCGGTTGTATCTGCATTGGTTCATTGTAATTCGATATCGGCATTAAGTGATACTATTTTTTAGCGGCAAAGGACACTCCGATCTTACCGGGTCGCCCTATTTTTCGTTCGAGCCGATATTACATCACCGCGTGACCATTGACGATATCGTATTAGTGGAACATACCTGTTACACACGTTTTCTTCATTCTTGATAGAAAGTTATTAATTCGCGATAATAATGGCTATATTATAATAAATGTTCGCTTTTACTCTAGTAGCGATTGGACGGCGGATTTTATGCATTTCTGGCAGGATTGAACGGATCTGTTGAAATATTAGCCTCGAACAAAAATTAATCTATAGTTTACTTAGTAAGATATCTTCAGTTAAGATATCGGTTTACATTTCGCCGGCTCCGTCAGCGGGCAGCGACGGTGACGGAATCTGTATATATTAGATGCCGCGATACATCATCGCCGGTACCTTTTGATGTACATCGTGCCCTGACCGTCACGTATACAATGTAAGACGCGACAAATAAAACGTCTCTGATTGGTGGACACGACGAACCCAAAAAGAGTATAAAAGAAGCGTTTCTTCTTACCGGGCACCTTAGTAGAGTTTGATCGCTCGATCTGTTTCGCTCATATACCTTCTCTCATTAAGAGAATAAAATAAAGTCCTTTTAAGCAAAGTATTAGAATCATATTCATTTTCATTCAATAATCCCAACAGGATCAAATTCAAAGTAGGAAAATCATTTAAAGAATTTAAAGATACTATTGTGTCATGTTGAATTCATTAAGATGATTAAAAAGCGAAATAAACGTCTGACAAGCTCCTGCATCGTGTAGTCAATGCGGACAATTTTTATTTTGCATAAAGAGTTAGCAATTATATATTATTTAGTAACCACAGTTTAGTAATGATATATTATTTTAGACTAAAATTATTTGTCTTCATTAAATGGTTGTACTGTAACAACGAGTCAGACTCGTGATGAAGATCTAAATCAAAAATTTAATTCTTCTGCTATAAAAATTTAGAGATGAAAATAAATGGAGACAATCTTGTTCGATTTCGATTATTGTAGACATTATTAATATTGTACGATTTCGATTATTTTACACATTACCGATNTGTTGAAATTTTAGCCTCGAACAAAAATTAATCTATAGTTTACTTAGTAAGATATCTTCAGTTAAGATATCGGTTTACATTTCGCCGGCTCCGTCAGCGGGCAGCGACGGTGACGGAATCTGTATATATTAGATGCCGCGATACATCATCGCCGGTACCTTTTGATGTACATCGTGCCCTGACCGTCACGTATACAATGTAAGACGCGACAAATAAAACGTCTCTGATTGGTGGACACGACGAACCCAAAAAGAGTATAAAAGAAGCGTTTCTTCTTACCGGGCACCTTAGTAGAGTTTGATCGCTCGATCTGTTTCGCTCATATACCTTCTCTCATTAAGAGAATAAAATAAAGTCCTTTTAAGCAAAGTATTAGAATCATATTCATTTTCATTCAATAATCCCAACAGGATCAAATTCAAAGTAGGAAAATCATTTAAAGAATTTAAAGATACTATTGTGTCATGTTGAATTCATTAAGATGATTAAAAAGCGAAATAAACGTCTGACAAGCTCCTGCATCGTGTAGTCAATGCGGACAATTTTTATTTTGCATAAAGAGTTAGCAATTATATATTATTTAGTAACCACAGTTTAGTAATGATATATTATTTTAGACTAAAATTATTTGTCTTCATTAAATGGTTGTACTGTAACAACGAGTCAGACTCGTGATGAAGATCTAAATCAAAAATTTAATTCTTCTGCTATAAAAATTTAGAGATGAAAATAAATGGAGACAATCTTGTTCGATTTCGATTATTGTAGACATTATTAATATTGTACGATTTCGATTATTTTACACATTACCGATCTCGTTTGATTTCGATTATTTTAGATGTTGTTTTTAATTTCTGATCTTGTTTGTAGCGGACTACAGCGCGATTGCATTTTTCAGGATTAATACTCTCCGGCAACGAGATCTCGCAGATTTTGTCATTGATACTGACCTATTACGGCGGCTCGGGGCACCGTCCAAGATGGATCGCGATCGGTGTCGGTCTCAGCGCATTCTCCTGCCTCGTTCTCGCGCTTCCACATTTCTTGTTCGGGCCCGGAAGGGACGCGATGGCCTTGACGAAGGAACACCTCGATCGAACACTCCTAAATACCTCCACGATCCCCGAGGACCTGGCAATTTGTCCGCGCGTCGTCAAACCGCAGCTCTGCGACGAGGAGTCGATGCTGGACGTCAGCATTCTTCCACGACTTCTGGTCTTCCTCTCCCAGTTTATCCTCGGAATCGGCACCACCCTGTACTACGGCCTTGGACAGACATATCTGGACGACAACACCGAGAAGAAAAATACTCCGATGTTGCTAGGTAAAGATTCGCCGCTAAAGTTTCGAACGTGTTGATTGAGATCAGAAATGTTTTTTTGATAATTTTTTGGTCTTGCGCCCGAAATTATGACAGTCGGCGAGAGAACGATGTGTGCAAAATTTGCATTGAAGTTTATGGATATTAATGAATTTCATTTCGGTTTCAAACATAATTGTATTTCGATATTTTAAAGTACCGTTGAACGTTTTTAGCTAAAAGGTAATTCCTTGGGTGAATAATGACGATTTCTAGAACTATACAGGGTGTCCCATAATTATGTCATCACTCGGAATGGGGTGATTCCTGAGGTCATCTGAAGTAACTTTTTCCTTTGCGAAAATGCAATCCGTGGCTTTGTTTACGAGTTATTAACGAAAAACACTGACCAATGAGAGGCGAGCTCGCTTAACGCTAGGCGGCTAAGCCAATCAGAGAAACTGGGCTTCGATAGCTCGTTGGCTCGGTTGCCTAGCGCTAGGCGAGCTCGCTTTTCATTGGCCAGTGTTTTTCGTTAATTGATATGATTATAATTTCGTATATATATAATAAAATAATATAATAAAATTTCGTATATATATATAATAAATATAATAAAATAATATTTCGGTAATTGTCAGACTGCTGAGATCTTGGTGCAAATTTTGATTTTTGTACGTTACTTCATAAAAGTTAGAATTAGGGTAAAGTCTTCTCCGTCAACTAAAAAGTAATTCATTGTAAAAATTAAATAAGCGTTCTTGTTAATGTGTATACATCTCTCCGCATTAAAAATCTGCAATAGTAATTATTTATTCAATTTATCTCGTGACAAAATATTTTTGCAATATTCAACAAGCATTAGAGTAGTAATATTTTATAACATTTAAGATATATTAAAATATAAATATTTTGTAGTATTTAATCGAATCAATTATGTTCGGATTCGAGTGCTAAATATTCTAGTATAAAATACACAAGGGTATGCGATAATTAATATTCAACTGTTGAACAGGTTTTACATTCGCTCTGAGAACAGTTGGTCCAGCGATAGGATTTTTATTGGGTTACGGTTGTCTCAGTCTCTATATTGATCCCAGTTTACATCCTGTAATCACCAAAAACGATCCAAGATGGTTAGGGGCTTGGTGGCTTGGCTGGATTATCCTCGGTGCCACGATGGGCATGTTTTCGATCCTGATTGCTATGTTCCCACGACATCTGCCGAAACCAAAGACCACTACCGCAATTGACACTGCCAAACTGGTAAGAGCACAACGTTCTATTAACACTAACGTTAAAAGATTTTCGACGTTGTCCGATCTTTTTATACATCGAAATAATACAACAACATCGAGGAATAATTTTATACTTTGCTGCGAAAGTTTATTCTACTAAATGTACACCAATACAGTCAATTATTATTCTATTATTATAGAACATTTTCGATTTTAACATAGTTTTATTATACGTGGTACAGTCGGCCACGAAAATATTAAGACACTTTTTAATAGAGATCCCGGTTTTGAACAATTATTGAAGATACGCGAGTACACGTGCACGCGTGTAGTTAATATATGACAATTAATACCGACAATTAAACTTCCACCTATAAAATCATTGAAATATTTCTCGTATAATTGTACAAGAGGTTTGCTGTATGCTGTAGGATGGTAGTATACCATTAAAGTTACACCTAACCGCGCAAGAGCAGTACATGACACCGATGGAGCCGCGGAAGTCGCTCGAGACCGAATACATTCCAACTATGCGGGAATTTCCGACAGCGATGAAAAGGTTGTTGACAAACTGGCTGTTAACGTTCAACAACTTGAGCGGGGTGTTCTACGTGTTGGGCGCGTCATCTTACATTACGTTTTTGGCTAAGTACCTCGAGGTTCAGTATAGTAAGTCTGCTGCCGGGGGTACCGTGATCGCTGGTAAGTTAATGGCATTCACTATACATATTACACTTACTGTTAATAAATGACAAGACAGAATTTTAAACTTGTGCGTCGTTTTTGGCGAGGATTTCACATTGAAAGGGTTTACGATCAAAACTACTTGTTCACCTCTTTGCACTCCAAATTAGTCCTTTTGCCGATCATGATCACCTTTCTGCATATCGAATTAACTCTTTTATTAGCCTCTGAAATTAAATTCGGATTTTTGCAATTAAGACGATCCCTTTCACCGATAGAATATGGTCATTTTTTATTCAATTTTTAGAGTTAACATGAGTTTATGTACTTATTTATAATATAATACGAATCCTATTGCGAACAATTCATCTTCGTTAATCTTCAGTAATTATTAACAACGTGTCATTCAATTTGTAAACTTAATATGAATTTTGTCACAAATAGGTACAAGTAAGTGAATGTAATTTGCGAACGGCTGAATTTCATTTGTAAAAGGGTGAATTTCATTTACAAAAAGGCGAGTATTATCTAGAAGTAATCCGAAGTGCGAAAGTTAAATGTGATCTACGAAAACATTAGCTTTGAGTGCAAAAAGATAAATATGATAAAAATGATAAATGAGTACAAAGCCTGTAATATTTTGATTATGTAAGTAATTACGGTGGTAATTATAGCAGCTCGCACACTAAGTCTCTGCATCCGTAAAAATAATGTATCGATTCCATTAGAATCATGTTTTCACCATGTACCTAATTGATCGAAGACTGTTTTTCACATTCTTCCTTGTAACAATGAATTAAAAAATGATGCAGAGGATTAAATTATTACCTAATGTTCTAGAGGGTGGGGGAGAGGTCATTAATACATTATATATTTTAAGTATTGAAATAAAGCACCATAAAATTCATCGACGCATTTTCCCAGTAGAATGTGTAAAACGAAAATTCTAGTAGATTCTACTTTGCATAAGGGCAACTGCTTTGCCATTGGCAACTTTTAATCAAAGCAAGGTAGCTCTACGTACGAAGGGTCAGTAGCTAATATGCTTTCATGTGTCAAGGTCCTATATCGCTGGTCGGTATGGTACTGGGATTTCTATTCTCTGGAATGGTAATTAGCAGATTCAAGCCTGGACCTAGGCCACTGCTCGCATGGAACGTGTTTGTTGGCGTCTGCTTTGTCGCTGGCCAAATACTCTTTATATTCCTTGGTTGTGCGGACGTTGACGTCAGAGGCCTCGATTTTGACACTATGCAGTGAGTACGTCTTCGGCTTTACCGGGACTGGCTTCTGATAACTTGAAATTATTTACTATTACTTAAAATTTTTACTGTTTCTTTTTCACGTTTTACTAATTTTTACTATTTTGAATAGTACAAACTGTACCAAACTGTAACACAATTATCGTATAAAGACGAACATTTCGTTAAGTATACTGTTACGCGGATAGATTCTTTACACTCTTATTTTATACAAATAAGGCAAATTCGTTGAGCAACAATGATCCAAAAATTAGCGTGCGTGTGTTGTAATAATTTCCTAATACAGGGTGTCCGGCGATTTCTAAGATGATTTGAAGCAACTTTTTCTTTTGCGAAAATGCTGTTAACAGCTTCGTTAACGAGTTACATAAGAAAAACACGGACCAATCAAAGCGCGAGTACGACAGGCGACCCGCCCCATTGCAATAGTAAGCGTGACGCGACAGTAGCCGCAAAGGCAAGGCGTCAGCCATATTCGCTCTCTGATTGGTCCGTGTTTCTCGTTGATAACTCGTTAACGAAGGCGCGGAGAACATTTTCGCTAAGAAAAAAGTGACTTCAAATCAAACGAGGAATCACTTCTTTCCGAGTATAAGAAGAGTTCTTGGATACCCTGTATAGATAAATGGTGCAAATGGTAAATGTGTCTATAAATGTGGGACCAATTTGTCCAACAATGAACACACTCCTATGTTACCACGTTGTTTTCCGGGTCGAGACCGAAAATTCACACGCTCTATCGTTGTCTCAGAATGAACCTGACATCGAGTTGCAACGTCGGCTGCAACTGCGACGGCGTCAAGTATTCCCCGGTTTGCCACGAGGCGTCGAGGACGACATTTTTCTCGGCTTGTCACGCGGGTTGCCGGGCGATAATCAGCGACAAGGAGTTCGGGAATTGCAGTTGCCTGCCGGCGACGAATCCATTGAACTTCGAGGACCAGCTCGACTATACCACCGACAGCAAGTCGGCGATGCTGAGTCAGCCGATCTACCTGAACCATCCTCACCCGATCGGCTTCAACAAAGTCAGAGCGGGACCGTGCACGAGCGACTGCACTCGCCCGTATCTTTTGTTCATGGTCTTCACTTGCATCATACAGACGTTGGCGTGTTCCGGAAAGATTGGTAACGTCCTGGTGAACTATCGGAGCGTCGACAAGAAGGACAAGAGTTTCGCGCAGGGCATCACTCTGATGACGATTTCTTTGTTCGCGCTGATACCGGGTCCAATCATTTACGGAGCCATCATCGACTCCACTTGCTTGATCTGGGAGGAGTCCTGCGGGACCAGAGGGAACTGCTGGTTCCATCATAGACGTAACTTCCGGTATCTGGTTAACGTCACGTCCGCGGGTAAGTGTTGCCGCCGGGGACCCAGAAACATTTTTGCGAACGAAATCAGTAACAGATTAACAGGTTAATTATTTAAAGTTCATTGTTCGAGGCAATTGATTAATTAATTTTGATATGCAAACATCACTTTGACAAACTGCTTCTGATGTATCGTCGGTGGCGTCTACAAGCGACCCGTAAATTTTATCAGAAATTATTATCGACGAACGCGTGTAAATACGGTTCAGTGTTTCCACCATTTCATTTCAATTTTTAACAATCTTTCATGAGACAATTTATTCCTGTTATTCGTAACAGTCATGGGAAATCCTGTTTTGGTCATTCGTAATAGTTATCGATAAGGGAAACTTTTCATTTTAGTCGCCAAAATTATCGATAAAAGAAATTTTATAATACGGTATTTTTAAATACATTTTATAATGGTATCTTTTTTAAATATATTTTATAATACAACGCATGTTCGCAAACATTACGTTCGTGCGACACCTCTTGCTTGTGATTTTGAAACTTTTCATGTAAACGTTATCATAATTAATTTTTAGGACTGATTTGAACCATCTTCAGCTTGAATTTAACAGTAGAGAACAATACGTTACTGTAACAGAACCGATTCCATTGTAAACACAAGATCCTGTAGATCCTGCATTCATCGTTAAATACTTCCATTTTGAAACTATTGCACAAAAAGAACTAATTTTTCAGGCTTCTCGACGATAGGAGTGCTGTTCGATGCAGCTGTCTGCTACCTCGGAAAAGATTTGGATCTTTATGGGGCCGAGGAGACGGACAAACGTCGCGAGTTTATCAAGGATGATTCCGCGCCGTCAATCGTCGACGGCGGAAAGAAGAAAGAGATAAACGGAAATGTAAATTAGAGAAGTGGAACGCATTCCCGTTTGTAACGATTATAACTCGAAAACATTGAGATATTGACGTAAGGAGGCTTGAGTTTCAGATCAAAATGGAGACTACGCTAGAACCGTTCGGTACCTGAGTTCTCGAACCTTCCATGACCGTGAACCGATTCAGAGAAGAGTGCAAATAGGAAAGATGATTATTTCGTTTTAAGTACATTCCATATACTCTGTCTAATTGTTGAATAGTAATTAATTGTTACGTAACCAAGGAACCAGTCGCAATTGGACGAAATGCTTTATACTCCGAGTCTTTGCAACATTTGTACGCCTGTACAGCGTTACTCCTGCCTGTTTGTAAATAAAACATGAATTTTTAACAAATACACAACCATCTGTATCATGTTTCTATGAACTATCGATTTCTATGGTGCAGTGGACGTTTTCGTGAGAATTGTTGCTGAGAATTTGTATTCGAAGAAGCTGATTGTCCTGATATATTATTATTATTATTATTATTACTGCTATTATTATTACTATTATTATTATTATTATGACTATAATGATTATTATTATTATTATTATTATTAATATTACTATATACAATAAATTCTTGTGAGTATAAACTTCTTGTATGAAAGTTCAAAAATAGCAATTTTTATTTAGAAGATAAGATTTTGACAACTGGTTCAGTATTTTCGCGCATGGAGGATGTATATCAATATTTTACAAATAAATTTGAAATCAGTGGATTTGAACGCTAAATTGTACATTGTAGTCCAATATTTATAATATCTGGTAATACGTGAAAGATCTATCTCAGATGCAAATTGTTTGGTACAGAACGACATCCATTTTTGATGCGTAAGCTTTCTCACTTCTTCTCTGTCGCGTATGATTTTATAAACATAATTAAATGCCGCGAAATATTGGTTACTTTCGTATCAAACAGCTTGTTTCGAACAGAATATTCATATTTTATTTAGAACTCTAGATATTTGACTATAATTGATTAAGCGTTATAACTTGCTTGTTATTTCGTTTTAGATGGAGTATATTGAAACAACTTTATCGTTCTTAACAAAATTCTAATCTTTTTGAGGTATACAGATTTGATTTACAATCTTATGTTTTAATCGTTCGCAATTGGTCCGTGATATGATATTTTTCTCAATCGTGCAAAAAAATGGTTACATTGAAAGTCTTTATGGTCAATGCTAGAAACAATAATTATTCATTAATTATAGTTGCTAGATTAATCAGACTACTTTTTGCCCAACTCGAACTTTTTGCTTTTGAATATATTTCAATATACATGCTGCTCTTCTTTTTTTCTTTCACAGTAGAAGCGTGACCTTCAAACAACCTTGGGCTCTAAAATTTTCAAATCGACACGAAGATATGCCAATGACCATGAAGACATGTCAATACCCAAAATTTTCCGCAACTTTCGATACTTTTACTACATTTATTACTAAATTTATTACATTTACGCCTCAAATGTAAATTAATTAATCATGATTAGACTTTATGAGTTTTATGCATTTGTAAGAAGAGCAAAAGGGTAGACACGCGTGGACAATTAAAATGAAGATGATCTCAGAAATCGAAACAGGCGAAACAGAATTACAGTAGATTCTCCTTAATCGGTGCTCAGATTGTGCACAAAAATGGACAATTTGAGCGTCAATTAGGGAGAATTGACTATACCCGTTCACAAAAATACAGTGCAGCATTATTGACTCGATGTGGCATCATGCCGGCTGTCAAAAGATTAAACGATCGTGCAAGGGTTGACAGAGAAAGCAGCAACGGACGCAACAACAAGCACGACAACATTATTAAAAATCACCGCAACAATGCAGGATCGATCGCGTCTTAAGTTTCGTTACGCGTTAGACGAAGATCGCCCCGCGGAGGGTTGCTTTCCGTTAAATCCCCCGCAAATAGGGTGTAATGCCCACAGGGAAGAAAGGGGTTTCGCTCCGGGGAACGAGGAGGGGAAAAAAAGGAGAATGTATACTTAAATCGGCCGATCGACAGTTCCGACTGATTCTCCGGTCGAGCAAAGGAGAAAGGAAGCGCAGAGAAATGGGGTAAGGTCTCGAGAGTTGTTTTCAGGCCTCCGAATTCTGGGGGTTGACGCCAGCCAGCAGAGGCCTCCGGTAGCCAAGGGATTACAAACCCGCGAGCCCGAAAGTAAAAAGGGAGTTTTTGTTTGAGAGCCTTTTAATNGGATGTATATCAATATTTTACAAATAAATTTGAAATCAGTGGATTTGAACGCTAAATTGTACATTGTAGTCCAATATTTATAATATCTGGTAATACGTGAAAGATCTATCTCAGATGCAAATTGTTTGGTACAGAACGACATCCATTTTTGATGCGTAAGCTTTCTCACTTCTTCTCTGTCGCGTATGATTTTATAAACATAATTAAATGCCGCGAAATATTGGTTACTTTCGTATCAAACAGCTTGTTTCGAACAGAATATTCATATTTTATTTAGAACTCTAGATATTTGACTATAATTGATTAAGCGTTATAACTTGCTTGTTATTTCGTTTTAGATGGAGTATATTGAAACAACTTTATCGTTCTTAACAAAATTCTAATCTTTTTGAGGTATACAGATTTGATTTACAATCTTATGTTTTAATCGTTCGCAATTGGTCCGTGATATGATATTTTTCTCAATCGTGCAAAAAAATGGTTACATTGAAAGTCTTTATGGTCAATGCTAGAAACAATAATTATTCATTAATTATAGTTGCTAGATTAATCAGACTACTTTTTGCCCAACTCGAACTTTTTGCTTTTGAATATATTTCAATATACATGCTGCTCTTCTTTTTTTCTTTCACAGTAGAAGCGTGACCTTCAAACAACCTTGGGCTCTAAAATTTTCAAATCGACACGAAGATATGCCAATGACCATGAAGACATGTCAATACCCAAAATTTTCCGCAACTTTCGATACTTTTACTACATTTATTACTAAATTTATTACATTTACGCCTCAAATGTAAATTAATTAATCATGATTAGACTTTATGAGTTTTATGCATTTGTAAGAAGAGCAAAAGGGTAGACACGCGTGGACAATTAAAATGAAGATGATCTCAGAAATCGAAACAGGCGAAACAGAATTACAGTAGATTCTCCTTAATCGGTGCTCAGATTGTGCACAAAAATGGACAATTTGAGCGTCAATTAGGGAGAATTGACTATACCCGTTCACAAAAATACAGTGCAGCATTATTGACTCGATGTGGCATCATGCCGGCTGTCAAAAGATTAAACGATCGTGCAAGGGTTGACAGAGAAAGCAGCAACGGACGCAACAACAAGCACGACAACATTATTAAAAATCACCGCAACAATGCAGGATCGATCGCGTCTTAAGTTTCGTTACGCGTTAGACGAAGATCGCCCCGCGGAGGGTTGCTTTCCGTTAAATCCCCCGCAAATAGGGTGTAATGCCCACAGGGAAGAAAGGGGTTTCGCTCCGGGGAACGAGGAGGGGAAAAAAAGGAGAATGTATACTTAAATCGGCCGATCGACAGTTCCGACTGATTCTCCGGTCGAGCAAAGGAGAAAGGAAGCGCAGAGAAATGGGGTAAGGTCTCGAGAGTTGTTTTCAGGCCTCCGAATTCTGGGGGTTGACGCCAGCCAGCAGAGGCCTCCGGTAGCCAAGGGATTACAAACCCGCGAGCCCGAAAGTAAAAAGGGAGTTTTTGTTTGAGAGCCTTTTAATTTTTAAGCCGGGCTAGGCTAGTAATGAATTCGACAACGTTCCCGTGACGTCAGGACAGTCGCGCTATCGATCGCGTCCTCAGACACGGAGGATGCGCTTCGGCATTACCGGAGGATTAAGTGCCCTGCCTTATTCCTCCGTAAATAAAGAAAAATCACGGCCGGCGATCACCGCGCATCCACCGGCCCCGCGCCCCGTTTTGGGTGCCGCTCGATTCGAGACCGTCTCCCCCGAACGACGATGTCCCGCGTTCCAGGATTCCTACCGATTGTCAGACACCGTGAACCGCGGTAATGGAGGACACGGGGCGGAGACGACGACAATTTTCATGTCCAGTTAATTAGTTTGTAACTCGATTTGCTACGAGCCTGAACGAAAAGTATTAACACTTCGACGGCCGCGTCAAGGATCTCGATAATTTCATGAAATCGAATCGAATTCAATCGAATTAAAATTGCAGAGGCGAATCTTAATTACCTCGCGCGAATCTTAATAAAATTAAGAAATTCTATTGGATTAGCCGGAATATCAAATTTTTAATTATAGGTGACGCGGTAGTCAAAGTGTTTATAGTGTAATACTTTATTAATAATATATGCATATGAAGGATAGATTTTGTTAATAATATAATTATGGTGTATTTTTTTTTTAAATTACGCTGAATCGATTTTTATAATTCAAATTTATATTCATATCTGTAACGAAAAATGTACTGTACGCTAAGTGTCTCTGATTTTTTTAGTGACTTATTCTGTTTAATTATGACAAATCGGGTAAATGTTTTAAGGAAACGTTATTTAATATTCTTGACAAGAGTATTTGTTATTGTAATGTATGTATTTCTATGTATGAAATTGATATTCGAAGAATATTCGAACATTTAACGAAAATTCGCACAAATTGTGAACTAAATGCAATACTGACATGTTTTTAATATATATTGTCTCCAGAATCATGCTATAAAGAGCCAGTAGGGTATCAGTGTTATTTTAGAGTATTTAGAATAATTTAGATTTATTTAGATGACAAGTTATTACTTGTCGTTTTCTACAAATTCGTTTGAAACTGTACAATTTATGTATAAGCGAACTAATTTCTCAAATTGGACTCATTCATTCAACTCCAAACTATTACACAATTTTCATCCATTTAATATAAAGCTGTTATGGATTAAACTATAAAACTATCAGTAAATATGTTAGTAGTAACAATTGATAACAGTAATAACCATTGTATTCTGATAACAGTTCAAAATAGCGAATCTACATACAAAAATATCGAAATTGAAGAGTCGTCGTAAAAGTTCATCGTTTCTTCACGATTAAATACTACCAGGACTTACGTATATTAATTGAATATAGCTCAACTTTAGTTGATCCTTTATGCTTAAAGCCAATGGCAAAACAAACGTCGTTGCACTTTTCGCCGAATAAAACAACTGTCGTGCTTCATCGTACGATCTGTTGAAATTATTCATGCACATATCTTCTGATCGACGAGTTTGCATTACGATCGATTGATATTACGGCGTTATGATTTGTTGCTTATGGGGTCCCAAAACAGGAAGCTGCTCGCATTCCGCAGCTTTCATGCAGCCGGACCGTTCAAATCGACGCGAACGTGCAGGTCAGCCTCGCGTTATGAAATTTTGTCGTTGTGTGTACAGAGTACATTGTACATGACCCTGACCCATCTTTCATATAGACCTCATCAACGTCTTCTAAGTCGTGGTACAGTCTGATCTAGACTATCATCGACAATGCGCGTCGAAGAAGGATGGAAGCGTGAGACACGGATGACCGGAAGTGACCGGTTTCGCTTCGACCGTGCATTTTCGCTATTTTTCACCGCCATTCCTTGCCCCGGGTGTCGATCACGTTGCTTCAAAATAGCAAACTGCATTTTAATCGGTTATCATCGTTCGTACAAAATATAGCGGGGTGCATATTATAATTACTCAGCGAATGTTTTTCTATTCATGGTATTTGACTTTGTAAAATATGTATACTAAAGTAAGTTATACGATCCAAATTGTCTCAATGATTGTTCATTCTGAGACGGTTCGCGTGTTACTTAATTTGATACTTTTTATGAAATGAGATACGCGAAATTGGGTTGTTAAAAATTGAACATAGAAAAATGTCTGCAGTCTGCTATAAAATTTGTCTGTGAACGTTTTGATTGTAGCGATGCAATTAAGTGGAAAATGTACAAGAAGATGATAATATAACGATTGTAACTTAAAGGACAGAGTTCGGTAATGATAGTGTGCTTCTAGTATACTTGATCCTGGAATTGCGCGAAATATGGGAGAAAGTATTATTCCTGACTATTTTTCAGATACTTTTGGACAGGTCGATGCGACATCTGAAATCGAATTTCTAAATACAATCGGAAAATGTCGAACTATTTTTACGATCACGTGCCGCGTTTTTATTTACAAATCACTGAGTAATCAATATCACCGTAGCATTTTTTCATTAAAATGAATTTACTGATAAATGGAATGAATTAATGAATTGAAAAAAAAAGAATGAATTACCGAAGTACAATATTGTATTAGAGATTTGAACGCGTTGCTTTAATGTTAATTAGGCTGGAGTTATAATTTGCTGGAATTTCAATTTGTCGGACTTTTAGTTTGCCGAAATTTTGTTTTGCCGAATTTTTCAACGAAAGCGTTAATATCGCAATGCAAGCACGACTTCTCGCGACCAATCACGGCCGCCGGTGTAACTCGAAAAATAAAAATGGCCGCCGGAGTATCAAGAAACCGGCGAATCCTGTCGTAGATTCACGACGAATAAAAGGCCATTCGCCCTCGAGAAAAACGGCGATTAGCATTAACTGTGAGTAATAATAATGATTCTAATCCAACTCGTCCGGCCTTGATTCTTCTATTCTACGAATGCTGCGTAATTTAGCGAAGCAAGTGGGCTGTAGCGTTCAGCGCGCCTAACGAAATTTGTGAGCGCATTAATACATACCTCCTTTATTGTTTACCGGAAGTCTAGATTGATATAAATGGCCATATCAACCGACCCGTTCACCGATTCCTTTAAAACGATCGATTCCTCAACGTGTCGATTCCCCAACTCTCGATCACTGCATTCTGAACAATAAATTTTTATCATCTTTATTTAATCGATTTTATGTACTTTTAAGAAAAGTTGTTCACGTCGAAAACAAAATTGTGAAGACAGAAGAATTCGAGGATATCTGTATATTGCGTACAACTTATTCAAAATTATTAAAAGAGCAAAGACCTTTTTATCTGATTTATATTTCTCGCAATCATTTTAGATAATTTTTAGTTCGTACAAAAATCCGCGGTCTAGTTATAAATACGCGGGTGTCTAAAAAATTAAATAATCAAAATCCACGGCAGAGGTGTCGATTAATTCACGGTTATGACAAAGGCCGTCAGTATTTTGATAGAGACGGGAGGACACATTGGTACACCAAGGACAAATATAGTTCGTAGATAAAGTTTATCGGATGAAGATGAAAGGATTATTAGAGAACCGAGAAAGCCACCGACTTTGTACTTTTACATTCGAGAAAGTGGTACAATCGCAATTTTCGAAAACTCGTTATTTAAGTTGAACAGCAATCCAGAAGTGTTTACGAACGATTTACGACGATACGACCGAGAGGATGAACAGAAAATATTTGCGTTCGAACGCTCGATTGCTATTATAAAAATTCGCGACAACCGTTTGCGGAGCAGAACGGAAAATATAAATAACGTATCTCTGTCTACTTAATTGTGTAATATTTCGACGAAGTCTCGATATTGTTTAAGAATACCGGCAGCCGTGTGTCGCCGTCGTTAATCCGCAGCGTTCAGATTTATCACAATAAAACCGTGTTCCCGAGCACCCAGCGGCTGATATTTTCGACTGTTTGTCATATATTGTGTATCTTCTTAATAATTTCCGCGCGTTGCACTGTTTCCTGGAGTATCAACAACGTAAATAACAAACCTGGACTGCTGATTTTATGCATTTATGGCTGAAATCGGTAGATGGAATATGAAATTGCGAAGACATAACACAAGGATTTGATGATATCGTTGCCACTATCTTTAACAGAATTATTAGAAGAAACAATTTATCATTATTTCATTCGCGTATCTTGCAAACGACGTATGCAACTTTAATCTTGCATAAAGAGATAAAATAATAGATATATTATCGAACCGTATGCATTTTTGTTTGTCAAGCCAAGCATCACTTTCTATACTTTTACAATTGCGCATACATTGAAGCTCGTAAAACGCCGGACAAAAACTAATTAATGATTTTGAATTCACGATGAAAACAACCGATTTGTCGATCATCCGCGCCGCCCCCCAGAACTCGCGGCGCGGCTCTATTTTGCAACATGCTAACCGGAAATGTAATCGGTGCAACTACGAAGATAATTTGACTAATATTAATTGCGGTCTCCGCGACGTTTGTCTTTCGCGTGAATGGCGCAAGAGGGTCGGCCGGCAATTAAAAAATTTCACGCAGCTATCAGGCGATTGTTCTATTTGCTGCGATAAAACGCGTTGCTTGCCTCTCCGTTATGCGGCTCCAGCATTGTATTGTAAATGACACGCGATTTGATCAGAATCGTGCAAACATCGAGCACGGTGATCTGATTCGTATATCAAGACGGATTAAATGTAGACTCTTTTTCCACGATGACGAAGGTAAAAAAAAGAAAATAAACATAGCGGAACGTTCGTGCGTTATGCTGCTACAGTTGTCAGCGATTGGCGAGCTTTCATCATTGGCGGAGAAAGTTTAACGAATAAAAATTTTTAACGCTGTTTAATCTGAAACGTTCTTCGATTTCTGCAATGATTTGGAAATTTGTGATTCAAGCATTGGTGTTTTCGAACTTGATGGTGGAACATCAACGCACGTTCCTGAAATTTTTTCGTCGCGGGTTCCTTGAAACTCCCGGCAACGCAGAACGTTTAACAATCGGATTAGAAAAAAACGAAGGTGTCACGTTCGTTCCGCGCGCGGCGACAAGGCGAGATTGTGTCCTAATTTACAACAGTCTGTCTTATCGTAGATGTAAATTTTCACCGACGAGCCAAAACATTCGACATATGTTTGCAGACACGTTCGCAAAGGATACGTTTCCTGAGAGTCATCCAGAAGTTTTGAACAGACAATAATAACAATTTTTCGAGTAATGAATTATTTCGTTACTTTTCTTATTTCAAATATGACGATGGATATTGATCTTCAAAATAGCGTGCAGCAGAGAGATTTTACTTTGAGAGAAATCTTTACATTAATTTGCGTTAAGCAAACATTTCTCTTCGTGAAGATATAATAAAATAACGTTATTTAAAAAATAATGTTTCAAATATCAAAGATTTCTGAAATAACATAACATGTTATTTGAAATAATATTTTGAACCAGTATCTTCAAATAATAGTTCAAATAATATTATTTTATTTTTTTATTTTTTAAAAAATTGTTCGTTGACTCGCGTCACGTTTATTTTGGCGAAATGACGCAAGGATCAGTGATTGCAAAAATTGTTTCGCAAGAAGGACGATTTTGAGGGTCTTCAAGGAGGATACGGCAATAGCTAGATGAAAGTGTGATATGTGTGAGTAATACAGTTAGCCGCGTTGCCCCCGTTTCATGTGTTTTTACGTTTTTCTGTCTCTACCGATTTTTTAGTAAATTCCATCGGCTAGATCAGATAAGATTTTTGTGTCTTGAAGATGGTATCACTGATGTTCAACAGATAGATTGCTAGTACATTTATGCCAGACATTTATGTAAATATTATGTGTTTAAATATGTTTTAAATATTTATTTTATATATTTTAAATAAACTGTGGATGTTTTTTTATCAATGCATTTTAATAGAATTGAAGAAAATGATATATGGATAGCTATAAAAACAAATAAAAAGTATAAAATAGATATATTCAGATATAATATTAATTGTATTAGGGGTAAAACGTATTAAGATTACGGGAAGACAAATCATTGTCTATTCATTTGAATTTTTGTTTTTTGTTATGCCATAAGGAATTATCAATGCAATAACATTTTTAGTAACTGTCCAATGTGTGCGTACGGTCTAATTGAGATCATCATCCATCAATCCATTAGAGATTCGATTGAATGCTAAAACAATTCGCGTGGAGAATCTGTAATTATTCTCAGCAGTGTTTCGACCGTGAGTTAACAATGAAACATTTGTTTGATTAGATCGTAAATATGCGAGGGGAAATTTATTACTCTTCACTCATGGCCTTTGGCCACGTGTAAACATTGTCGGATTTCTCTTTTGCATGTGTCGCTTATTGCCATTATTAAATAATTCTCTAATAACTTTCTGAAACGTTGATAATTATCTGTACAATTGTTAATGCTATTTTTAGTAGTGAATGGTGCAAAAACATCCAGGTGTCGTAAAACATCCGACTTTTTGAAATTGTGTTATATAAAAAAATTGCGAACTAAAATTGCGATTTATTTGCAAACTTTTAGTACCATAATGAACGTTAAACAAATCGTTAAAAGTCTTACGTATAATATAAAACAATAAATAATTTGTTTACCTGTTCCACTGAGAAAAGGATATTTTTTGAAGCAATGTTGGCGTATGGCAATATCAAGTATCGTAGTTGAAATGTTTCAGTTTTATTGATCAAGTTATGTGCCAGAATGAACGGAGCTACAATAATAACATCGATCAATACGTAAAATGTAGTAAAATGTGGATACAATAATTAAAGTTAATTAAAAAAAATGTATATTTCGCTTTTCTCTCAATAATGCCGGTCATCAATAATAAATATTAAATCTTGTTTGTATCTTCTTTTCGTCAAGTATTTTATGGCCTCAGAAATTTGCATACATTTTCAACGCATAGAAAATGAAATAAATGCGGAATCAGTATCGTTAAATGCGAATCTATGCTACATGTTTCCCTATTTGCAATCCGAGACGCTTAATTTCAACTACCATAGATCACGTCGCGGGAGAAAATACGTCACCGTGAGCTCAGACACGCGCATTTGGTGGAATCGAGTATGGTTATTAATATCGCTTAATTATCGCAGCGGCAGTGATAACAAGATTTTAATCGATTTCGCAACATCCACCGTTGTATATCCTTCAGGTTAACTAAAAGATTTCAGCATAAAACAACACGACAAGTTCCTAAGAAGAAAAAAGCGGCGAGCAGTTGATCTAACAGTAAAATTCTCTTTTTATTTGCATTGATTCAAGACTTGTACTTAACTTGACGAATTTACGAGATCGCAAAAATAGAAATCGAATAACGACCGTGTAAGTACAACGTTGTCAAAACGTTTCATATTTTCATAGAATTAATATAATATTGGCTACTAAAAGCGCAAGATTTTAATATTTCTAATATTTGTAACATTTTTATACCAAAATAAAAAGAAATGTTCTCATATAAAATTATTGTTCAAACGTTTACAAGCTGAAAAAAATAAATAAATACGTACAGAAACGAGAGCATACAAAGTCAACCGACATGGTAGACTGAGAATTGATACACATTTTTGGAACAAGTTGAACAAATCTCTGCGCCACCGGGGCGCTCGATAAACTCGAAAGAAGCCTCACCGATTCCAACAGTGCCCAACGATTAACCAATTTCGAAATTTCGCACGAAGTCCCGCAGATAACGATGCATCGATTCGAGCCACAATGTTTCGAATCGCGTGAAAAAACGATGGCAACTTGAGCACCGAAAAAAATTAGTTTGCCCGTGGAGAGCGCGGCCGCGCCTGTGCCCGCCTCGTTAACTAGCGACGACAGTGTGCGGAGGCCGATCCGTTCTTCGATCGAAAATTAAATTTCAGCAATTAACCAGCTGCTATTAGCTGTATGAGATGTTTGGTGTGCGCCATTAGCAATGCGCGGGAATAGACGGAAGAGTTTACCGGGCGCGTTAGTGTGCGCGTGTGTGTACATCACGTCGATTCTATTAAATCATAATGGGTTCACAATGTGAGCCTCCGCCGGCGGAGGTTGACTAGGAACGAACATAGACACCATACCTAAAGCCGAGATCTCGTCTATCTCGCTAAGATCCGTGTCTTTAGACCGGTCCTGCACCGGAATACCCGCGACAACAAAAAGAAACAAAATGGCGGAGTCGTGGGCCGCGCGGAACAATCGCCGACACCTTTGACCCCGATGCTTATTAAATTATTGCGACAATTGGATCGCATTGTGCGAGTTCACCGAGAATACGCAACAGAAAAATTCGGCGGAACTTCTCGTTCCCGATTTGAAACGTTTCGTTCATTTTCGCGGCAACGAACCGATTTTAATTCGATTACGGTTTCGCGAAAACGAATGTCCGTACGAACGTTCGCGCAATAGAGACGTTAAATTTCATTGTTTTTTATCACGATCGTAGAACGAGCACAACTCGACCGCTATTACGCCGAAACTGATTAAGCACATTACGCAAGGATTACGTTATCTCGATCGGCGGATTATCGATTGGAAAATTTAATTGGAGTCTTTTTAACGCGCCATGGATGCGGTCCCCTCGTCTCCCCGCCCGCGCCAGGCATCTCCGAACAGAAGAAAAATCACGCGACCGTCCGAAAGCACCGATTTTCATTCCACTTTGATTACTCGGCCGGTGCGGCGGTCATTAATCGACGCGATGAAATTGCATTTCGAGGACGCGGACGAGGATCGCCGATGCCAAGGAACGGAATTGTAAATCGAGCGCTCCGATGCTGGAAATTTAATACACTTCATTCATTTACAATCGGCCGGAGTATTTACATGCTCGGCCGGATGAAGTTCGTAATCAGCCGACGCGTCTGCCTGATAGCGAGCACCGCGTTCACAGCGTTCGAAGAACTACGGCCGATAGATAGATCGCTCGTAGCGCACGGAAAGCCATTCGGAAGCCGGGGCTAAAACAGATTCTCGGCCGATCGTCCGCCGTATTCGTGTACGTTCTTTTTCTTTTTTTTCAGTCCGCGCCTAATCGGTGGCCAGCTCCAATCAGGCAGCATTTGATCGATAAGCGCGTATTATCGAGCACAGATCTGAGCGTGGACGGCGCTGGACGAGGATAAACGGAGCCGATCGTCGCTCGAGAAATAGAGTTGGAGTGACGGAGACCGTTCGAGCGACGAACACTGCGAAGACGAGGATCGCCGCGAAGATAGAGAGTAGGAGGGGAACAAGGCATTGAGCGATCGCAAGAGAGGCAGAAAATGTGCCAGCTTGATAACAGCAACAGGTACCGTAGATGCATTACAGTTCTCCGCGTCGCGATCCTCAGCCGTCCGATCGATTCTTCAGGGTCGATAGTGGGGATTCGATCGGGTCAGGAGGATTCGAACACGGTTTCGTCTCTGTCGCTTGTCGGCGGTGACACCAGTTCGGCAAGGATACCGTACGTTTTCGGACACGAAGTGTGCGTTCACCGCGAGACCGTGCTTCATCGCGAGAGATCACTTCCGATCGGCCACCGATCGGATCCAGCTCCACCAGGATCCAGGAGTCGCTCGGCGGTCATCCTCCCCCGTTGCTGGCTTGGTGGCCGCCTGCTGCTGCACCACGGTGTCTCCTCTCACGCGGGTACGTGCAATCATTCTTTTATTCTCTGCTTTTTCTGCCGGCACGTTCCCTTTCATTTGCGAATATTCGAAACTCTCCACGATCGCTTCGACGGGCGCAGACGGGCTTTCTTCGGCACCACATGGTCGGGCTACAGGGTGTTACATTCGAGTGTTATTTCGAAGTTGTTTGACAGGGAAATGAACTTTCGTGGAAGTGCTGTGGTGCAGATTCGCGGAACGGTTTCGTTTAATCCGCGGTTCTTAGGAAGAACACCGCGTGTCACATGTTCTCACTTCACCGAGATATTGTCGCTTAAAGTTACGATTATTAAATGCTTCGTGTTAGCAGTGTTTCAAATCGGATGGTTTTCGTGAGCCCATCGAATTTGTTTTCGTGCGCTTCCTTTCCGGTACATACGTAAATCTTACATGCTATGGTTCAATTGGTGCATAAATTTTAATTTTTTTGGAATTGTCAGCTTCGTGTTCTTATGTTGGTGGCATCGTATAGTAGTAGAATTCGACGCCGTGCTGTGTAGGGCGATTTTGGGAACCGAAATAAATTGCTCCTGTTTTTTTTTTTTTAAGTAAACATAGAAATAAATGATAGAGGAAAAATCGTATGGCAGTTGCTGCTATAGAGGCATATCATCGCAGACACCTTAATCGAACACAGCTGCAAGAAACATTTTTTTCATAAATTAGAGAAAAGTTTGTAAGCATCCGGTTCATTCTGTAAACCGAACAGTAAAGTCGCAAAACCAGTGGACCAATGTGAAGAAGTGAATGTGAACGTCGAACCTATTAGCATCCATAACATTGAATCCCAATGCATATGCACAAATAACGTGCATATTTTAGAAAATGTTTAAAGTGAAACGTTTGAACACGTATTGTAATAAAATACGTTTCGATCGCAAAGTATTGACATTTCGATGACTTTGGGTTAGTACTTTCGCTTTGTTTAACAAAAAAATTCGACTGCATTAAAGAATAAAGTGCAATCGCACCTGACGGGTGCATCGGTGTGTCCACATAAAAAATAAGGTCTTAGGAAGTTATATGAATTTTTCCTCTATCATTTTTTTGCCTATTTTTACTTAAAAGAGAGAAGTAACCTAACAAACCGGCATAGTAAATCAGTCAGTTGAAAAAAATATAAAGAAAAATATAAACATAGATCGATTTTTCATGTTTTGAAAAATCACTTCGACAGAAGTGCACAAGAAAGTGTCAGAGTTCCATTGTTTTTATTACTATTAGCGTATTTAATTTTTAGGTTTTTTTAATTTCCTGTGCAATAGTTAGCTTCTTCATCGTTACTGTACCCAATCAATATTTTTTGAAAATGGTGTCAACTATACAGGATAAACTGGAACTAGCTGGTACAGCGAAGTCGGCAATGAATTCCATAGATGTCATTGCGTGTGATGTCACGTGATACACAAAATTGTCAAACTACTCGAGGAAACCGGAAGTGTTGCACAGCCGAGACATTAACCCTATGATCTTTTTTTCTTGTAGGGTTACCGAAGGTTATAGTTTCAATTATAATAAATAATCAAAAGACTATAAACGTGTATTTTATTTTTAAACGGGTCGATTAATTCTTGTGATTGTTAACATCATCTGTTATCACACATTTCTCTATATACTAAGATAAAATCAGAATCGATTCTGAACACCAGGATGATAAGCAATGACAACGTTTATTGTTGTCCTCTACATCCACAAAAATCATTTAAACCAAACAACTTCCATACGTACACTTTTCCGATAGCTTCGATCTTTCCTGAGATATTTTCTGTAGGATAATATAATCGGTTATTGCGACCAATTGCTGTGCTTCCGGTTGATTTTCGGGCCTAATTAACTTTATATTCATCGAACAAGGCGTATTCAATTGTTTGTATTAAAATATAAACGAAATAAAAGAATACAAAAATTTCAATAATAATTTCAATAATCGTCGGATAACCCGAAAACGAACGAAAGGCACAGCAATTGGTCACCCAGGTAACCAGCTCCGCTACCTCATTTGATCGAATTTACGAATCTTGAGACAATTTGGCATCGTAAAGTTAGGCGCGCGATTTCCCGCGATTCGTCTGTCTGCGCCGCTTATCAGACTTCAGTTCGATAAAACCGTCGAGCGTGACGTGCGATGCAAAATGTGTCTACGTTTAGCGAGTGATCGTGCTAGGATCAGGGATCGCTGTAGAAAAGATCTCTGGGCACGAGCAAGATTCTGCTAAAAGAGACTCGTTCGGATTCGCAGGTAGAAAGGCTGTGTTCGAGCGCCGTGATCGAGGGCTCCGATCGCGAAGGATCGGATCGTGGGGGAGGAATCCGCTCTGACCCGTCGCCGAAACATGGAGAACACGTGACCGTGGACCGGAAGTCGCGACAGCGGGACCAGGAGCGGCGAGGAAGGTGGTTCGACGGGAAAAAGCGATGCCAAGGGCCGCGGGAACGGCGGAGGTACATCAAAAACTTGCGAGCACCGATTGAGGTCAGACGGGTCTCCCGAGGTTTTGTTGAGCGATCACCGCCGTCCTAGAGGACCATGAAGAACAACAGCAGCAACCACGAGAAGAACGGGCCGGAGAGCCTGAAGCTGCTGAGGGTGCCGAGCACGCCGCCGACCACGCCGACAACGCCCACCACTCCCAGCTCGAGGGGCCTCGAGGACGTGTTCAAGGATCTGCCCCTTACCGACGACACCTCCTGCGGATTCTGGTTCATACGCGGGCCCATATTGCAGAGATTCGCCAACAAAAAGGCCTACGTGTTTCTGTACGGCGTGCTTGGCTGCATTTTCTCGGCCAGTTACGCGTATTTCAACGGCACCATCACCACCATCGAGAAAAGGTTCAAGATACCTTCGAAGACCACAGGTGAGAGGACACTGGACTCGGCGTATCTTGAACTTCGTTGTTGTAACAAGTTCAATTGGATAAAACAAATTAGAATAACTTAGCTGACTTTGAAGCAACTACTTAAAACATAAGCATCAACAACGAACTATAAATATTGCATAATACGATCTGTAACGATATTTCTGTCGATGATGAGAAGAGACACCTTTAAATAATTTCTGTTAACGCTATTTTTACTAAAAGGATCGTAGAACGTGTTTTAATCATTTTTGATACAAATTATTCCTTATTTTGTGCAATGTAGATTATACTCGGTCGATACTTTGTCTTCTCTCGTTTGTCGAATTCTGTCGTAATTGATTCTTTTTCTCATTGTTTTACTTGCAAATTTATATTCGAAAATATTTGATCGCTTACAGTAGGTTCTTCTGCAAATTTTATAAATTCGTTGGGATCTTTGCAATTTTTGTTGGGATGTTTTCAAATTCAGTATGATAGACAATTTATCTTTTATTTTATATTCGGTCGTGAAAGTATTGTCAGCAATGTGACCATGATTTTATCTAATTCCAATTGTAAATTTGAAAGTTTTAACCACAGTCTAGCAACGATAGGACATGCAAAAGAACTTGATTATTTCAATCTCTTTCACTGGCAAAGCAAAAATCGTTGCTCGTACAGTAAATGTACAGTAAATTCTCCCCAAATTTCCTTCATCTTGTAAACGAAAATGGACAATTTTGGAAGAGGAGATGCGATTATTCGAGGCTCGCGACTCATTTTTATAATCGTCGATGGTCAACAACTATAAAAACGAAGTGCAACGCTCGAATAATCGTATCTCTTCTTCCCAAATTATCCATTTCTTATTCCAAGCTGAAGGAAAATTAGGAAGAATTTGCTGCATCGATTGACAAATGTCGAAGTTATTCGAGTTCTATAATCGTTATTCAAAAAAATGCTTCGCCATCAGTATAATAACGCTGTCTACATGATGTCAGAAAGGTGTGAAACGAACTACTGAAGTAAACAGTTCTGGCGAATCCATGGGATTGTTCAGGGAGCATGCACAGTTTCACAAGCTTCTGTATTCGTTTCGATTTCTGTTCAGGTCTGATCACAGTGGGCAATGACATCTCGCAAATGTTCGTGTCGGTGGTCCTGTCCTATTACGCAGGAAGAGGTCACAGGCCCCGATGGATCGCGTTCGGCATTTACACCGTGAGTATCCTAATTCCCACTGTTTTGGACCCGAAGCCGTTCGCGCGTGGCTTTTGCAGAGAAAAGCGTCAGCTGTCGGTACGCGCCACGAAGAATGGGTCAGGAGACGTCACGGAGTGGTACCTCTCCGTAAAAGATTGGTCACAATTCATAACTTTCGTACGATTTTTATGAAAATCGTTGACTTTTAATTGTTGACGAATTTCATCGTGTTATCAATAATGCAAAATTCAAAGTGGAAAATCAGGCGCTACTGACATAAGGAATTTATAACTTATTCTTTGGTAATATCTACAATTCTCCGATATTTGGCTATAATTATATAATTCCAATTATAATAATATAAATGGAATATCAAATTTAATACGATATGATCTTAATTTCAACATCTTTAACATTGTTCACGGAGAGCGTCGATCGCCATTGCTTGACACTTCTAACTTGAATACCTTAAAATTTTGGAAATGGTTTTTTGACGACTGCCGCAACTTTTTCTACACCGTTATATTATAATACGACAACGATTTCGAACAAATTTAGGAGCGAAGCACAAAGCAATTAAAAAATATTTTGCGTCGCTTATGCGCACAATTCGTCTAACACGTATATTTTAATGGTGAAATATCCTATAAATGATATCTATAAGGATGAACTTGGCACACGAAATCTGTTACGATCTTTAAGGTTTCACGAAGCACGAGAATTCGTCGAATTTGACGGCCTACGTCACAATAATCATGCACGACACTTGAAAATTTCGAACAGTATTCGATGCCTCGAAATGTATACAAAATATGTGCTGCAGTTGCCTTTTATTGTTACATATAATAATCTACATAATTTGTATTAGTGCACTTTATTCACCTCGAAGTACTCATTAACGTTTATTCGAAACAGTTTTTTGTCGGATTAGCGCAGATGCCTCAAAAATCGGTGCGATCGTTATGATGAACACCGTGTATAGATAAAGATAATTTCCTGGGAAACCCAGTGAACGGAATTACTTCGCACATAAATCGTAAGAAGGATCGTTGAATAAATCGTTAAATAAATAAATCATCGCTGTTTCTACGAAATGAAGTAGTCAGTTTCAGTGCTCCGTGAACCTAATGCTAAAACCGTAGCAATCTAAACTCGGTTGATTGTGCGCGTCACGCTCCGATGCTCATCTTCGTTAGTATTTACCGGGCTGGACTTAATACAATTGAAATTTGAGAGTGCCAATACGCGCAACTAGAAAGAGAAGAACGGCTGTTCTTCGCCATCTAAGCGCGAATCCGAACAGTTTGCTCGGCCGTGTCCGAACGCTTCCGACGTCTGGGTCAAAAAGACCCGGCTCCTTCTTGTGGATATTATTCCGACAGCCGGTGGTTAATTAAATTAGGAAGCATTGAAATCGTAGCTCCTACGCTCATTCACGCCTCTTACCATCGTACTCTCGCCACCGTGTGTTTAGCCTAAGCGCTTCATTCATTGAACAGTGAAAAGACGCTGCCGGTGCGCGTGGAACAATTCGCGTCACGTATTTTCAGTAATTACAGTCGATAAACAATCTGCCCGGAGATCTGCACGTGCGCAGCCTCGCTCGAGTTGCTCAAGTTTTTCTCTGGCTCCGTTGTTCACCGTTCACCGAAGTTATTTTCGAATCAGCATCGAAAGCCCGTGGATTAATTACCGTTTTAAACACTATAACTACCGACCCCTAAACGCGACTAATGCACATTGTTTTTAATGGCAACGACATGATTGGATTCACTCAAACTTCGTACGATTTCGATTACAATACGTGATCGAATGAAGATGTTTATGTTAAAGGAAAAGAAACATTAGAAACCAGCCATTTTGACCGGTTTGATATCCTTTTTTTTATTAGAATCGTCGTTTCTGTAGCAACAGATATTACTATTATTTGACAGGTAGTAATCGTTAGACTGCAGATTATTATACGATTATGATAGATATGGATGTGCCAAAAATATAGTAATCGAAAAGGAGAGGAAGTAAGAAATTTTATTGTATACTTTGCGTCTTGTTAATGTTAATAGAAAAAGAAATCAATCTCTGTGCGATACCCGCTTCATGCAATTTAATTCAGGTAGTTTTAATTTTGCATAAAGCTCCGCGGTCCGGTTATCGTTCTAGAAAAATGAAATGTCGAGTTCTGATTGTTGGAAAATTGACAAAGTTAATATCGGTTCGCTCTGGATTTGTCGCTTGAAACGTAGAGATTATTATAAATACCTTAACTCGTCGAAGGTAAATATAAATGCCCCAAGTCATTGTTTGCCAGAGCGAGTTTTATTGTACATACAGTAGCCGTAATTAAACCTGGTCTAAATCTCAGCTGTCAGGTATTCCGGTGATTAAAGTTTCACGAGACGAATTAAATGGAAAGGCAAAATTATGCCCCCTATAAGAAGAGGAGCAAAGTGGAACGAAATAAAACACTGGCGCGGATATGAACGTAATTGATCAACGAATAGAAACAAATATTTGAAGCAATAGTTAAGAGGAAAAAAGGATCGGCGTATTAATTAACGATATGTATAAGTTAGATCATCGTTGGCATATTATAGTTAAACTTGTAAATTTGCTACCTGAAGTGGCGACCAAAAAGCTACATTTTGCATTCGTTTTGTTATATAAAAATTCTATTTAATATATATATATTATAATATCGGAATAATTAAATTATTGAGATCAACGTTAGAACTGAACTTTGATTGCTTTATATTTTAATGGTAGTATGTACACTACCTTTGAACTATTTTTAGTATTATTGCGTAAAAATAATTTTTACAATTATTGTCTGAATATTATTTTCAGAATTATCGTATGAAAATATTTCTAGAATTATTATACGAAAACATTCTTAGAATTATCGTCCTTAGAACACAATTCTTCGAATAATTTATAATTTATACTTATATTCGGCGAGCCGAGAATTCGATGAAAACTAATCAATTGCAAACAGCTGATTTCGGTAACATTATTAACTAGACATTCCTCGATTTAATTACCCGAGATTTATCGCACGTGAGAGACAGTTGAATGCTCAGTGAATTATTGTCACAGAAATCGTGTAGATAACAGATGCAGTAAATACGTGTTGCAGACAATCGTCTCTTAACAATCTTGAACGTAGAAATCTGAGAAAAAAAAGAACAGACGGCATTTTCCAAGATCCCATTCGGCGACAGCAATGTAAATATCAGAAAATAAATATCAAGGAATGTATGTACCTTTATTATCGTCGCTGTTGATTGTAGGTTCCCGGACTAATGTATACCTACGGGCTACAACATTCTTTTTTTATACGAAACATATACCGATACAATATTTACGTCAAATCAGTTAGCAAGCCGTAATTGACGTAGTGAGTTGATATTTTAAAACTGCTTCACAAGATACCGATTAATCGATAACGTATTGAACTGAACAAGTCCCTTCGTTTCAAATGCGTTAAACAATCTTGCATTCTCGATTTTGTACACGTAATATTTACACTCGTGACAAAATTTAGGCAATGCGTATTTCAATTTAGGTTCATTCGATGAAGCAATCGAGCAATATCAATTTTCTATGAAAATGTTTCTAGAGAGGAGACCAATATCAAATAGTCGAACATTCTTTAAACGATACAGTCCGTTCTTTAAAATTAATTAACCTATTGCGAAACTCGATTATTTTGAATATTTGATTCTAAATTAACTATTCTACATTGCATTGAAAATGATGCCAATCATTATATGATATTAATTATTATGCGTACGTAAATCGTCAGTCGTGATCATATCATTTATTTTAATTTTAAACCCCCAATAATCGCAAGGGGTTCAACAAATAGCCCGTATTATACTTCATTCGCTTTCATTCTTTGATTTTGATAACAGAAGGATTAGTTTCGATTTAGAAAAACTGAATAATATTATACAATATTATAGTGCAAAGGGTTAAACCATGATAGTTTTTAAAGATCTCCATGTTAACAGATCAATGTGGACAAAATTTGAGAATGCTTCTTATCACTTAAAAGTACACATTTCGAAAATGCCCATCGAGAATCCTCGCATAATGGTGAAACTATTAAGGTCCATTTGAATTAAGCCTTTCCCATTATTATCAATGCAAATGCACTTTGAAAACAGCACGTTTACAACAATCAATTTTCTTCGATATCGAAGAAAAACTCTGTCGTACAGATCGTTTTATTAATCGTGACCAACCTAAACAATCTCCGTTGAAGCTTGTCCCACCCCTTCGCGTGTTTTACTCGCAAAGAAACAATTTACAAAGTTCATTATCCACGGATCCGTCTTGTTAACTTTTTTTCCATTGCGTCGATAGGATATCAAGGGACCGATTAATTTGAGGACAGTCGAGGCTCGATAATCGATTATCCGACCCGCGGATCGATCAGCCTGATCCACTTAGGCATAATCGGTCGTTAAAGCCCGTAATCTCGCGAGTCCAGATGCTGACCAGCAAATCCCGCGATTATCGATCGATCGATTGGTAAATAAAAGCTTCGTTTGTTTTACGGCGAAGGTTGTCCTCTTTTGCTGTCTGACGATGCTGCCGCATTTCTTGTACGGGCCCGGCGAGGACGCTCTTTTGCTCACCAAAGAGTACGGGGCGAAGCCGCACACCACGAACACGAGTCATGTACCTGACAAACACCGGAAGTTCCTATGTCTCGAGAAGGATAGCAGGGAGAACGAGTGCGAGGACGAGGAAGGGAACTTCGCGCCCCAAGCGCTGTTGTTCATAGCGCAGCTGGTGTCCGGGGTCGGGGGCTCGCTTTATTACACTCTGGGAGTGTCTTACATGGACGACAACATCAAGAAATCGAAGACACCGGCTTTGATCAGCTTCTCCTATTTTCTGAGGATGCTCGGCCCGGCGATCGGCTACGGCATCGCCTCGTTTGCCCTCAAGTTTTACATCAGCCCGACCTTGACGCCCACCATCACCACGCAGGATCCAAGGTATCAGACATCTTTATCGCTTTAGGCTTCGGATCTTCGTGCAAGATGCGAGAGAAACATTTTCTCTCGCCAATTGAAAGGCACAGAGCGATGTGAAAACGTACTTCTGCTTTTAATCTTCAACCGATGACCGTTTGTTTAATATCGCTGGTGGTGACGTGAAAATTGAATTGGCTCCGTAATCACATCAATTGATTTTCACATCAACAGTCGCACCATCAGCGATACGGAGTTAATTTGACATGAAGTCATCGTTAATTGATACGGGGTCTATCATTGAACTGTTAATCTTTATGCAAAATAAAAACGTTCTGTACTCGTTCCAAGAGACAAGAGTCAAGTAGAAGTCGGTCTCTTCTTTCAATAATTTAATTAAGGTGAAACTAATATGTGGACACGCGTAAGATCGCTGGACTGTGGATCTTAATAAGGAAATACAAATACAAGTGGAAATTCATGTGGAAATAGAAAATTTCCAAGGCGATCGCAAGAAACAGAAATGAAAGAGAAATAAATGATTTCTTACAGTAATTTTGATAAGTTGAAAATACCGTAACAATATTATTAAACTAATCTTATATTTTCACAATTTTACATCTCGACTACTCATGCTCGCCATGAATGCATAAAATCCCCAGTCTAGTCGTCACTTTGCGTAGTCTTTAGCGAAGGCTTCACTCGATAGTCATAGTTTAATTAAAAGTTATATACATTCGGATTCGTTGCTCTTAGCAAAATCTACTCGAAAATGATAGCTTCGTTGTTTCGAACTACCCCGTAGAAATTTCTTCTCCGCGGTCTCCTTGCGAACTAATCACAGGAATCTGTTTAAACGAGAACAGGTGGCTGGGCGCTTGGTGGCTCGGTTGGATCATTCTGGCAATCCTGCTCTTCATCTTCGCGAGCGTGCTCGCCTTGTTCCCGAAGACTTTGCCTAGAGCAGCAGCCCGCAAAGCTTTAGCTTCCGAGCGGAACAAGTCCGCGACCAACATGGAGGCGGACCAAGAACCGGAATTGCCCGCCTCCCTCTCCGACATGATCCGGACGTTCAAACGTCTCCTAACGAACACGACCCTGATGTGCAACAACTTGGCGACCGTGTTCTACTTCATGGGGTACATGCCCTACTGGATCTTCATGCCCAAGTACATCGAGACCCAGTACAAACAGTCTGCCTCCGTTTCATCGTTGATCACCGGAACGGTCGGCCTGGTCTTCAGCGCCTTTGGCATCCTCCTCTCCGGCCTGGTCATCTCCAAGTACAAGCCGAAGGCCAGATATTTAGCCGCGTGGAACGTGATGGTGGGAGCTATATCGGTTATGGGGATGATCTCGTACGCTTTCCTCGGATGCTCCGCCAACGACAATCAAATCGCTGTGCAACCGGACGGCGCGCTCAAGACTTTGCTACCCTGCAACGAACAATGCCACTGCGACTACGTTACTTATAATCCAGTCTGCTCGGAGGATGGCCAGACCTTCATCTCTGCTTGCCATGCCGGCTGTCGAAACTTGAAGGTTCGATATCGTGAACTTCTTTAGTTTGTATTCGAGAAACGCCTGACACAGTAATGTCTCCCTTACTGACGCTCGGATTGTCCACTAAAATGGATAATTCGGGCAGAGGAGATACGATTATTCGAGCCTTGAGGTTTATTTTTACAGTTATAGATTGTCCACAATTATAAAAACGAGTCGCAAGGCTCGAACAATCGTATCTCCTCTTCCCAAATTATCCATTTTAGTGGACAATCTGAGCGTCAGTAAGGGAGACATTACTGTAATATAGTAAATTCTCTCTAATTGACGCTCAGATTGTAAAAATGCAAAATGGACGCAAAAATGGACAATTCGGGAAGAGGAGATACGATTGTTCGAGCCTTGCGGCTCGTTTTTATAGTTACCGATTGTCGTCCACTATAAAAATCGTGTTTTCTCTTTCCAAATTGTCCATTTTTCTGCACAATCTGAGCGTCAATTAGGGTGTCCAATGACTCCTGCCAGATTCGCGATGAAAATTTCATACGTAATCGACTAAATGTAAATGTTCCTCGTTCTTTCTGAATCGAAACAGATCCTTCTGTTATCAAAATCTTGGACTAGAACTAAACGAAGATGTACAACAAATATACGAAAATTAGCTCGTTCTATTAGGCAAATTATCAACGCTGGGTTTATGGACTGAATCAGCACAATTTATCAGCAATAAAAACGTTGTTTTACGTTGCTTCAGAAAAATACCGAACAGATATTTAATCAGATTTTTAGCGATTTTTACTATAATGTATAACAAAAGTAACGAAGCAATTAAAGTTATACTCTGCATATTCTTGTATAATAAATATTCTACGTGCAGTTAACATTCTTAGCGTTAGAATACTTTGTATCGTGTCGATGAAAATATTGATTTTATTTTCATTTTAATTTGGTATCTTTTTTATTTATCTTAATGCAATGTAACGCACCATAAATGTAACTTTATAATTGTTGTAAATTAGAAAATTTGCAACCTGTCAAAGCGATGCGTTTCCTAAACGAGAGAAGAGAAACGCTAATCAACGTAGCTGTGGTAGAAATCATTAACTCACGAAGCCGATACATTTTAAATGCGTTGCCAAAGTATAAAGGTTCCCTGTAGACGACGTGACAGCTTACAGGGAACTCGAGCAATTAGTGTAACAGGTACGATCAAACTTTAACGAGTCGCGTCAATTTGTGCACTTGCAGGTGCAGGGCAACGGCCAGAAGATGTACACGGACTGCAGTTGCATCAAGCCGAAGTTCCCGCATTCATTGGCGCATTTATACGAAAACGACACGTTCGTGTACACAACCGATATTCCGTTTGAGACCGGCACGCCCGACGCACCACCGCCGCCGAGTTTAGGCACCGCGGTTCCGGGCGCCTGTCCCGTGGATTGTATGCACAAGTTTTACGTATTTCTCGCTGTGGTCTGCCTCCTCAAGTTCAGCGGCGCCACTGGAAGAGCCTCGAACTTTTTGGTGTCCGTCAGATGCGTCCACGAGAAGGACAAGACGGTGGCCATGGGCTTCGGATTGACTATTATGAGCTTGTTCGCGTTCATACCTTCTCCCATACTGTTTGGATTCATTCTGGGTAAGCAGATTTTTTCTTGAAATTCGCGCGGAATTCTGCGTTTAATTGTGTTTGAAAAAAGACAGTACTGTGCAGTTTCGAAAAAAAATGTGATTAAAATAGTTCGGATATTAAACATGTTCGCGATTGGGTGAAACGTTCTTTGAAGAGAAAGTTGGAGCGTTTATTGTGTAGCGTTCTCTATTTATAGAATATTATTTTTTATACAAGCTGGTATATACAAGGAATACTATAGTGATTGGCTATGGTGATAGCATTTCAGTTATTATATCATGTCAATAACTTACAATATATTTGGAATTCGTGAATTCTTGAATAATGTACCGTCGTGATTGTGCTTTTAATTTTGTGTGTGTCGATTTTGTGTTGTTTCACAAAGTAGTTTACATTCGAATGAAGATTTTAATATCGCATTTAAGTAGTTGATTACACGAAGAGAGATCAGATTCAGAGCTTTTAGGGCGAAAGCTGCGTGATACAATTTTTTGGTTTAAGCCAATGATCGACTCAATTTGGTCATAAATGTACATGTCTAATAGTCTAATAACTAGGTAATAATAATGTAGTCCAATGATCACAACTGTTGAGTTATGATTTTTCTTGATCGTTTTTTTTGCTAACGATTCTCTTTTTTTGCTAAATTCTCCTCAATTTTCCTTCAGTTTGTAAACAAAAATGGACAATTTGGGAAGAGGAGGTACGATTATTCGAGTCTCGCGGCTCATTTTTATAGTTTGCCGATTGTTCGAAGGAAAATTACGGAGAATTTACTGTAATTCAGCTTTCTCGTGTTTCGAACGATTCCTCAAGAAACAATAAAACAATTTTCTTGCAGATAAAACCTGCCTGGTTTGGGGAAAGACGTGTTCAGGTACAGGAAATTGTTGGCTCTACAACGGCGAGACCCTGAGATATCTATTGAACTTTACAGCAGCCAGTAAGTTAGCAGTCTGAATTGTCTCTTTTCTCTTTTTTTTCATGTCCGTAGAAACAGCCTGTACTTTTACATAACATCATCGATCATAAATATTCATATCTTATCTATTCAAAACAGAACAAACTCTCTTGCACTCCTCGCGAAGCTTTCCGAATCGGGCGATCGCGAAACTTTGAGCCACGCTAAAAGCGATCCCCAATAATGTTATTCATTCGAAATGTCGGCGCAGTCTTTTTCACGGAGGTTCGTTAACTCGCGATTATTTCCGCAGGCTTCGTAACGGTGGGCACGCTTTTCGACGTGGGCGTCTGGTATTTCGTGAAAGACGTGAAGATCTTCGACGAGGAGATCGAGCTGAAAGACATAGCCGAGGAACCCGGGGAGACGCTTTGAAGGGGAGCCGTTAAACGATCCAGTCAGATCGCTTCGTTTCCGTGATGGTGGCGTAAAGGCTCGAACAGCGAAATCGTTGGTGAATAGAAAAAAAGGATGAAGAGAGAAAGAGAGCGCGCGCACGAAAGAATTAAAAAGAGAGAGGAAGAGAGAGAGAGAGAAATTGCGACGAGAACAGTGATGAAAGAGAGAAAGAGAGAGGAAGAGAGCCGACGAATAAAGACTTTACAAGTACCTTAAGCATTTTCCTAGATATTTAAAAACTCGTAGTACCTCGGATAGAACTTGTCGTTGGTCGAGTTCGTCCACGAGACACAGCATTCGAGACGAAACAAGAACGAGGGGTTACGGACTCCTATGGTCCCCGTGTTCTTGTCATTGCCAATGATAATCCTTGTCGCTCGCGGAGGCCCGGAAACCGTTTATACAAACTGTACGGAAAATATTCGTGTATCGGAAGAGGATTCGCAGTGATTCGGGCATTTTCGAATGTTTCGTTCGCGATTGTACATAGAGGAACCGTGACGCGGGGAAGAGAATTTCGATGGATGTCCCGGCGAAGGGATTCGTTCTCATTTGATGTTGGTACACGTGGCGTTTCGCGGGTCGCACTCGTAATTAGCGTAAGGAAACTGGATAACAATTGTGATCAGCGTTATGACACACATTGTGTACCGAAGATACAAACCTGCCAAAGGATTTTGGAAATAAAACTGTAGTGACTGTAGACGAGAGATTCGAGTTGTTCATTGAAGGGGAAAGAGATCGAGGGGTGCGCTGACTGTTCGACCTGAGTTGGATTTTTATGCAAAGTATAAATTAATTCTTCTATCGTTCCTCTGTAATAAAAATGTTTTTCTTCAAACGTTTATTTGGAGCTACACTTGTATATTAATTGTGTTTATATTGTATACAGACGCGTGTACATCGTCTATAATTTTGCATCGTATAGCAAAAATTTCTGACAATTTCTACGATAGATTTTTAATCCCTTTCGATCCCGGTCTTCGCAGTCCCGTGAAAATACGCTGCAGCAGTGGTACGAAATGTTGCTTCAAGTTCTCATTGTCAGTTTTTATTAAAATTCTTATCCTAGGAATACTTACAGTATGCATCGAACTAAATGAAAAATTACAATAACACCGTGAAGAATTCTTTCATGATCACAACCGAGTCGTTCCGAAATTGTAACAAATCTCGTCTCGAGCCCGTGTCGTCATTCTTGGATCATCGTTCTCTATCTTTCGCACTCTAATCAATAAACGACAGAAAATCGCTCTTCATCGTTGCGAGAAATTTTCCGTTTAAACGACTCCCTTCAACAATCATATTCTTCGCGTTCCCTCTATCATTAAATTGCACTATTTCATAGAATTTCTATCTAATTAACTTGCGTACACGTAATCGTTCTTATGATACATTTAGCAAACGAACTGCACCTAAAATGTCATACGACACGCCGTATGCACCGACGTACAATGCTCGAAGAGCTAGAAGGAAATAGAGCCGGACGTTTCAAATAAATAAAATACTTTTATGCGTTCTCATATAAAACATGAAAAAAGTACAGGCAGTATGATAACTTGGCGCGATTGTTCGTCGTTCGGCTTCGTCTTCCCACAACCGAACCGAAGACCGGTGCCACTAAAAATCCGTGTGCAACGTTCCTTTGCTACCTTTGTCAACGGACGTCTTCGGGCTGTCGCTTTGGTCGGACTCCGGTCGTTCTTCCTGCCGGTTACCGTCGCTGAAGCTGCTGAACCCTGAAGAAGACTGGCCCCTGGAACGTCCGGTCGGCGCCATAGCTACCAGAGGAATGCTACCGACAACCATCTTGGGCCGTGCACTTTCTCCGGACACGGTCGTCTCTGCATCCGCGTCGGGCTCATCAGCTTTGTGCTCGTACTGGTTGATCAGCGACTTCACATCTTTGATGAACGAACTGTCGGGCGGTACCGAGGGATCGTCGCCGACGACAGGTATGCCGACCTCGTTGAAGTCACCCTTCTTCGACTGATCGTTCTTCGAGTACTCGAAGCTGTTGGTCTTCCGGGAGCCGTCTATGTAGCCGTTCTGGTGCGGCTGCTGCTGTCTAGCTAGTCTCGGGTCCCCGTAGTTGGCAGGATCAGGGAACTCTCGGCGCGTTGGCGATTGCAACACCGATGGAATCGGGTCGCTGTACACGCGGTCGTAGTCTTTGCTGTGGATGCGTTTGCGCGACCTTGGCGCCGTGCTGCTTAGGTCGCTCTCCACGTCAGAGTCGATGTCCAGCGGTCTGTAGGCCACCTTCGGGATAGAAGCCCTTCTGCCCTCTTCGTCGCTGCTACTCAAATCGTCCTCGGAGTCTAAGGTAGGGACGTCGGACCGCCGTGATTGCGATGCCTGGCTCAGAGAGGACTTGGAAGCTGCTCGACGATTACCTGGCCCCAGGGGACCGAACTTCAGCGGCACGGACTCCGGCGACTTCGACTCGTCTGCTCTTTGACCGCTTTGAACGTCCTCCGGCGGCTTTGGCTCTGCTTCGTTCGTCACGTCTATTTGAACCGTGTTGTCTGTAAATTTGTTTGGCTTTAATTTGGATATTTCGTGACTTGTTTGAAGCATTTGAGAGAGGATAACGGTCCTAAGGACCATTAGAGAGAAGATACTACTCCTAAGGTTATCAGAGAATCATAGATGAAATGTGCATTTTACAATCGAAAAGAATCTGTGAATATTGTTATTGTTGTTTTACGTTTTGGATTACTAATTAATATAGAAATAGTTGACTCTAACGTAGAAGGATCTGTCCAATGAATGAACATTTACTGTATTATACAGGTTGCTCCATAATTATGTTAACATCCGAAAATGGGAGTACCTGAGGTCATTTGAAGAAACTTTTTCCTTGGCGAAAATGCAGTCCGTGGCTTTGTTTACGAGTTATTAACGAAAAATATTGACCAATGAGAGGCGAGCTCGCATAGCGCTAGGCGGCTGAGCCAATCAGCGAAATTGGGTTTCGATCGCTCGTTGGCTCGGCCGCCTAGCGCTATGCGAGCTCGCTTCTCATTGGTCAATGTTTTTCGTTAATAACTCGTAAACAAAGCCGCGGATTGCATTTTCGATAAGGAAAAAGTTACTTCAAATGACCTCAGGAATCA